CTGGTGAGAGCGGCCGATCCGCGGGGCCAGGGATTCGGCGGTCGTGCCGTTGGAACTAGGCTTCCGCCTGCGTCAAAACCAGCGGGAAAGACCAAGGACCATACCTCAAATCGATGGACTTTTTTCGCCTCTTCAGCCTTTCCGGCCCGCTTTCTTGCATGCCCCCAGCCAAGCTCCGAAAGGCTTGACGGCCACCTTGGCCAATTTTCCACACGCAGATCTGGTTGAACTCCGGGAAGGCTTGGAACAGATCACGATAGCGACGAAACCTGAACTTCCGATACATGGGCCTCACGCGAAAACATAATTGGGCATGGGCATGGGGGGGGGGTACCTGAAAATTTTGGGACACCGTCCACCCCATCGGCCAGAATCTCCCTGGGTTGGCAAGGCCTAGGATGCATCACATCCCGCAGATCCGTCCCCCTCTTCCTGGGGTTCGTCACCCTTCGGGACCATTTTAAGAGGGTTTGTTCTTTGGGGTGATGCTTTTAGTGGGTGGACGAGTTCCAGTTGGCATGGATGCAATACTCTAGTTGCTCACCAACCTCAGGCTGGATTGTGGCCTTCCCTTTCTGTGCATACACCTTTTGGATTTCGGGTCAACGAACGTTCAGACCATATCCTGTCCCAGAAGGGGTATGTACCCAATACCCAAATAGAACGTGGGCGAAGAATAAAAAAAACACAGGTTATGAACTCCTCAGAACATGTCGCCAGTTCAGCATTCCCTGCCGCGAAGCATCTAAAGGGGGAAGGTACCCGGTCAATTGCTTGGTCCATCGTTGCGAACCAGCCCACCTTTGGAGCCACAAATCCCGGCGACAAACTCTTGGGAGAAGCCCAAGCCCTATTCTGGGTGCTGCTTCAGGAACCTCCCATATTTGCATCTACCGCAAATCGCACACCTGGTTTTCAACACCAATGCGGCTTTGTCCCAATGATTCTCACGGTTCCATTTGGGTGTGTACTCTTGTTGGGTGAAGATCAAAAGTCAGCCGCTTGAACATGGATCCCCCAGAAGCCCTCCATGCGGAAGCTTCCTTTGGCCGCTCCGGAGGCGCTTGGAGCTGGAGGACGACGTGGACCTGGCGCCGGCGAGGTCTGAGGCCTTCCAGGCCCGGAGGAGAATCAACTTCCGGGGGCTCCTTGCAGGTTTCAGGGCTTTCTCATGCTTTTCTCCTGTTTTTTTTTCTGTTTTTGGGGCTTTTCATGGGTTTGCCAGGGGTTTTTCATGGGTTTCCCATGGGTTTCCCATGGGTTTCCCATGGGTTTCCCATGGGTTGCCCATGGGTTTCCATGGGTTTCCGTTTCCCAGTTTGCCACGGGTTTCCCATGGCTGCCCAGGTTTCCGCAGATTTCCATGCGAAGCGAATGTTGAAGCAGTCATGGGATGGCCAGGTATCAAAATTGAACGGGCAGAGAATCGCGTGGTCTCCTTTTTGCCCTGGACGCCTGGTCAACATTTGCCGCTTTGGATGAGACTTGGGTTTATATCAAAAGAAGCGAGTCCCTCCAAAAGACCAGGGTTCTCCCAACAAAAAGACGCCCCTAGGGTCGGCCTCTGCCAAGCCTCGTTACCGTCCTCATCGCTTCGCGCCCAGGGTTTGCGCCGCTGGGGCGTCGACAGCGACGAGGCCGGATATGTGACGTTGCCGCTCAAACTCGGCTTGTGGCCGAGGGCCGGCGAAACGGGTTTGGCCCCCCCCCCCCCCAATGACCATGGGCAACTTTTCCAATGTAGCGGTACAGCATCTTTTGAGTGATTTCCCCGATTGTGTAAGGGAGCTTTTGATCAACCCAGCTCATATTGGAGAGTTCAATGTTAGTTTCAATGGCCTTGGGGTCTATGGCCACGTTCTTGTCGAACAGTTTGGACTCTATGCCAGTTGGCTGTCCCGTTGGATGCACGAGTGCCAGATGGAAGGAGGGCACCATTAGGTGGGATGCAAGCGAGACTTCCTTTTCTGCATGGACTACCTGTGCCAGACTCCGAATCGCATGCTTTGGAAATCCAGCCAGCACAATCCAGGCTTTCGCTGGAATCCTTCTCTTTGCTAGTCTGCAGAAAGATCGCATGGACACTATCAGCCAGAGTTGTGGGGAATTGCTATCACTCCCTTACCGCTGCGATCTTTCGGATGAGTCATTCGAACCATCCAACCGAATTGTCCCACCCCGCCCAGGGTTGGACCTAGTGGGAGTTTGAAAAACTGGGGCATGCAGCTTGATTTGCTAAACCTTTTGAACCCCCTCCCCCCTTGGGCAAATCTGCGGGACCTAAGCCCGGCTGGATGCTCCCTGGAGGGCCGTTGGGAGTTGGGTCTGTCCGAAATTAGGGTCTCTAAATGAGAGATGGAGCCCTCCCCCCCTCAAATGCAGCTGTTTCCTGAGGTTGGACGACTGTTGCATTCCGAGCTGAGAAGAGCAGGTTAAAAGCAGCTCGGGGTTTGAAAGGCCAGAGCCAACTAGATAGCACTGCAAGAGGGCGGCTTGTGTTTCATCCCGCACATTCTTTTAGATTCCACCGGCCAGCCGGTGCCCGTTTCAGTGTTCATTCTCTTCGGCTGGCCAATGCAGGGCTGTGAAAGTGACGTGCATTGCAGGGAATTTGGTACTGACCCTTTGTCAACTACGATTGGGCTCTTGAAGGAAATGGTTGGCCGGTTCATTCACATTCCCTGCTAAGAACAAGCACGGATGGTTGAGCTTTGCCTCTCCTTCCGCCTGGAGCCCGTTGGCAATGGCGCTCACCAAATGTTGAGACCCAGATTCAGATTGTCACTAACGCAGTGTCACCAACATCCCGATCCATGCAAAATCCATCGGCTCCACTTGACCTGGTCAAGATGCTTGAGTTTTTTAGTAAGACTCGCTTTACGCTTGCCAGGACTGAGTTGCTGAGATACTTGACCGGCCAACATGAACAATTCGCAAGATCCGAAGGTGGATATATTCAAGGAATTCGCAACTGCGAATACAGTACCCTGGTGGCTAACCAATATTGAATCTGGTCATTAGATGCTTCCCGGGAGGGGGGAATGCTGAAATGGCGACATGTTCTGGGGAGTTCATTACCTGTGGTTCCCTGATTACCCGCCCACGTTCTATTGGGTATTGGGTACATACTCCTTTTGGGACAGGATATGGCTTGAACGGTCGTTTATACTAACAGAAATTCAAAAGGTGTATGCGCAGAAAAGGAAGAATGGCCACCATCCAGCGGTCGGTTTATCTTGGCAACCAGAGTCAGTATTTTATCCATCCCAACTGGAACTCGTCCACCCACTAAAAGCAAACTTCCCCAAGAACAAACCCGCTCAAAATGGTGTTGAAGACGAACAGCGTCAGTATTTCCTCCATGCCAAGTGGACGAGAGGTCCATCGGTGACCCCAGCAGAGCTGCCCCAGGCCGAGGAGTTCCGCCTGCGGCGCCTGGGGCCGGCCCGGCCCAGGGAGAAGGAGGCGCTGTCGAGATGCGGGCGATGGGCGGTGGAACCGGTTCAGGGCAGAAGGGGGGGGAAAGCCCAAAAAAGTGGTAGGAATTTGGAACTTGGACTCATCCAAGGTAACCACCTTGGGAGATGGGCGTTTTTCCTGAGACAGGCGTCTCAGAATGGGGATCCCCTTCTTGATGGTATTTGAAGTGAGCGAGAAGGAGTCAGCACTTTTGCGACACGCATGGAACATGGACGATGCGTAACGGGCACAGCTCAGTTCAACGCCGGAAAGGCCGAACTCCGCATGAAGGTCCTGACTTTGGGAGTCCGCAATTCTGGCAGGTGAATTACAGGATTTGCTGCAGATGTTTGGTTTCGAACCACACTGACACAGCTCAAGGGCCCCAAGCATCCACTGCGATCTGGGGTTTGTTTCAAAGCCCAAGGTTCCAAAAGGACGACTTTCGGTTCCCGCGGTCACAACGTGAGCTGCCGTTTTGGGATTCCAAGTGAGGCTTTGAGGCCAACCCATGCCATACCGATGAGTCGGATTCCCTTGAAACCGACCATGCGCAGCCAGTGGCTTCCAAGTCATGGGAAGCGGCTGGTCGGAGGAGGTGGAGGAGGATTGGGGGGATGATTGTGGCGACGAGAGCCCCGGATCCCGCGTTGCCTTGTTATATACAGTGGTGTCAGGGCAGGGGGTCTTCGAAGATGAGAACCTCTACTATGAAACCATTTGGTGCGACAAGTGCGGGGACAACGCCGGCATGGAAGCGGATCTGTACTGTGTGGACTGTGAGGGCTACTTTTGCTGGGCGTGCTCTGGTCGCTGGCACCACCCGGGTGGATGCAATGAGATGCACTCGCTGGAGGAGATCGTGACAGGTGGGGGGAGTTCGTCAAAAAATGTTGGACCCCACTTTACTTGGTATCAGCACATTTTCGGGGATCCCTTATGGTTGAGGAACACCCGGGTGTGATGCAGTGGCTCCACAGGGCTGGCTTTCGCGGGTGTTCCCCTACTGGGGGGGGGGGGGTCCATTGGTTTCATTTTGACAAGCTGAGAACAAATCACACACTGAAGAGGACAGACACACGCACACGCACATACTTACAATCGCCACTGCGGGACAGGCGAGGAGAAGGGCTTGAAGCTGTTTACTCCCCTGCTGGACGAGATTATCATCAGCGTAGCTTTGTACACCATCGTCCGCCGCCTGATCGATTCCGTGGACCAAAATTATTTGTTCAGGTCGGACATATGTCCAACGATCCGGTGGCTTCAGAACCTCGCTTAAGCCACTGCTACGCCGGTCATTGTTTTCGCCACGGGGTCGGCTTCTGGATTTGGACTTTTTCCGACTCAAATTTTGTCGAAGTCGCGGGTTCCGGTTGAGCTGGTTCTTCCAAGTTGGGAAAGTGAGGAACTGGCTGGCATGGACGGACACGCTGACGTTCTACCACTTCAAGGAGCCGCAGAGGAATTGGGCTCTGTGCAGGGAACCCTTCTCGGAGGTTGGTCCAAAAGGAAACAGTGAGGAAGGCAAACAGACACCACCCATTCTGGGGATCGCCTGATTGTGACATACTCAAATTTGAAACGTGAGGGTTAGTAAGGGACAGGCCCCTTGCCATCAATCAGTGGATCTTCGCCCTTTGATTCGTTGCCATTGATTTTGCATTGTAGGTTCCTAGAATGCTAGGTTTTGTTTGTGACTAGCATTGTGAAAGCTGCGACTGCTTCTGCTTTTGGTGGAGCGCAACCGCCGCAGGTTTGGTTCATACCCTGGAGTTATTTGGGAAAACTATAGTGACAGACTGGTGAATCATTGAGAGTGGGCCGTTCGAGGGGCAGCGGAAGCGATAGATCGCCAACGAGTTTCTAGTTGTTCACCCAGACTGATGCTCTCGGTTTCTAGATGGGAGAGATCATGTCAGACCATGTAAGAGAACCAGGGCCTGTCTCTGCACAGTTGTTGGCTTTGAGCCCTTCCAGGGGCACCTCCATTTTGCCTCTAGAAATCGGCTTCCATCCGTCTACCCTTCCGGGGGTTGGGCCGCAGAAGGCGCATCCGAAGCGTACCCGGAACAGTCAAATGTTGATGAGTTGCCCATCAGGGGAGGAGGTCCCCCGAAATGGTGGTTGTCCTTTTGACTCTCTTTACACCGACCTTAGAATGGGCAGCCTCAAAACCGCAGCTTGTGGCAGGGGCTCTGGAGAGGAGACCCTGATGGCGAGTTGCAGCAGCGAGGACAACTTCTGGAAGCTGCTGCTGGACGGGCAAAGATTCGACGATCAAATGAGCAAACTGGAGGGTTTACCTGCTGCATGGGGCATCTGAAACCACCTTGAGTCAAGGAGGGGATAAAAGAAACCCAACCCCCTCCCTGAGATTGGAACATGCAAGTTGGCAGATGTTTTCAGGATGGGTGGGTGCGCACCACGGTCACCGACTCTGACAGCCTGCTGCTGTTGCTGCGGACCTTGCCGCAAGCCCTGGTGATCCACTACATCGCTATCACCTTTCTGGCGCGGGCGGTTGGGTCCTTGGGGGTAGCAAGGGGCACCTAGGGGCAACATCACCCCCCCAGAAATCAAACCTCAAGCCTTTTCCGCCAACCCTCACCACTCCCCCCAAATTCTGCAATCCAAATCGCATCCCTACCTCCAACCCATCAAGCTCCCACCCACCAACCCTCACCAACCAAATTCTCCACATCCCCACCCCATCCCTAACCTCACCCCAAGCTCCCTCCCTACCACTCCCAACCAAAAACTCAACCCTCCTCCACTCCGCCCACTCCGAAAGGCGCGAGCCAGGTGCCCCCCTTGGCCGTCTGCTACGCGGCCTGCCTGTTGCTGGCCCGCGCCTTGGAGCTGCGGCTGCCGCGGTGGCGCTGGCTGCGGAAGGCCTCCGTGGCAGCCCAGCAGCTCTCGGCCCTCAGCGCGCGCTTCGTGTCCTACACCCAGCAGGCGCGCGAGGACGACGATCGGCGCGGTCCATGCGTCTTCGGTCGCTGTTTTTTTTGGGGGGGAGGCCTTTTGCGGGGTGGTAAGGGAAAACCAAAAGGAATAGATTAGGGAGGGGCCAACATTTTTGACTCATACCCAATAAAACACCCCTTTGTTGACACATACTGACCCTCTTTCACCCTGGTTTAAGGGGCAAAGCGAAGAACGCAACTTCTTGGGGTCCCCCTAAATTGATACGATGGTGTTGTCCCCTTATCATGGTGTTCCTCTTGTTCACAATCCCGATGCTTGTTTTGCTATTCTGCTGCATAATTCGAATTACGATTAAGGATATCCCCCCCACCCCTTGTTTGCCACGGCTCTGGATGAGCTCTGGTTGCTGCTTTTTCGGACAAACTATCCGGACGTCTATGATGAATTTGGGTCGTACATGGGGGTACTCACTAGTTCCAGGCGCAAAAAGCAGGATGACTCACGAATGTCTCGTGTTCATCACGGAAAGGCATTTTTGACCGTGGCTCATATATCCGGACCTCTTATTAACGCAGAACTGTTGGCAGGCAGGATGTTTCACCCGGTCAGCTGAGGTGTTCTGACAGCCTTCCCGAACATAGAGCGGTTTCCCTTAGGCTCCCCTCAAATTCAATCCAAGGGCTTCCGATTGGGGCCCCATACTTATATAGTCCAGGAGTTCGCTCAGTGGCTACCACGCGTTATCCTTGAGGTGATTTAACTGGTGTTGCTACCCACCAGCCAAGTCTTCAATGCTCCGGCAGGCCCCACAGAAGACTCGGCCCAGGCAGAGGCTGGACTGGGGCGCCTGCCAGTGTCGAAAGTGTGAAGATTGGGCAATGGCCAGTGTGAGCTGATTGGCCTTTCCATGTGAAGAAAAGCCAGATAGAGCAGCTATACACTCGGAAAATGAATGAGTGAAGAGAACATACGTGTTTGTTTCTTTGATGTTGCATGTGTGCCTTTTGGCCTAGCTGCCTGCCTTTTTGTTTGTCCGTCCGATCGTTTTTGGGTTTGTTGTTTCTTGAAAGCATTGCGAAGAAAAAAGGGTTCTTCCGACAAGAGCTGGTGCCAATTGCGCACGTACAGTTACACTGAGCAAGTTGCACCAGCGAGTTACATCGGAGATCGCTAGAGCAAGCTACATGAGAAAGATACACCGGAGGGTTGCAGAGCAAGTTGCACTAGCGAGACACTAGCGAGTTGCATGAGAGATTGCTTGAGCGAGCTACACTAGCGAGTTACATGAGAGATTGCTTGAGCGAGTTGCGCAAGCAAGTTACATGAGATCGCTCGAGCAAGTTACACAAGCAACTGACACAAGGATGATGCACGAGAGGTTTTCTGTGGAGAGTAGTATAGTACGCGAAGTACACTTCTGCAGCTCCGGCTGGAATATCACAACTTTTAAAGTACGAAAGTAGCACGCGAAGTAAAGTGTCGCAGCTCCGGCTGGAATATCGCAACTTTTAAGCACGAAAGTTGCACGCGAAGTAAGCTTTTACAGCTCCGGCTGGAAAATCGCAACTTTTAAGTACGAAAGTAGTACGCGAAGTATACTTCCACAGCCCTGGCTGAAAACTCGCAACATTTAGCAACACTTAGTTACGAAAGTGCTACGCGAATAGAGGAACTTGTTCAGAGCAACTTGCTGAGAGAACTTGCTTGGAGAACTTGCTCAGAGGAAATCGCGCCAACAACTTGCTCAGAGCAACTTTCTGAGAACTTTCCTTGGAGAACTTGCTCAGAGGAACTCGTGCCCACAACTTGCTCAGAGCAACTTGCGCTGAGAACTTGCTTGAGAACTTGCTCCGAGAAACTCGCGCCAACAACTTGCTCAGAGCAACTTGCTGAGAGAACTTGCTCAGAGGAACTCCCGACAACAATTTGCTCAGAGCATTTTGTGCGGAGAACTTGCTAGGAGAACTTGCTCAGCTCAGAAAAACTCGCGCCAACAACTTGCTCAGAGCAACTTGCACAGGAAACTTGCTTGGAGAACATGCCGCCGCCGCTAATGCTTTCGGGCCACCCATCTTCTAGTTCTCCTGCTTGCATGCAGGTGGCCAGCAGACCCCAACGCACTCTCTGACGCTGGCTGGTCCTGACAGGGTGCCTTTGGGGTCGGAAACGAGCCGTAAGCCCCGCGAGGCCTTCCCAGGATGTGTGGGAATGGTGGGACTATTGGAGCCGCAGGCGCGTTCCGCTTGACACAAATCGATGTGTGAAAGGGGGGCAAACGGCTTTACCCACGAGGGTTCGGGTTTCTCTCCTGGGATTCTGGTGTCCGTCATACCGCACCGTCATGCGCAAACACGTTTGTTTCTGGGTTCCGTTTTGTTTGATGTGCAATGGTTCTGGTTCCACAGGTAAGTCCCCCCCTCCCCGACAACAAAAACACGTTGGAGGTTGCCGTTCGGTGAGACTCTGAGCCCTGAGGCAAGTCCGGTGGTTCAACTTCTATTTCCGGTCCGCCAAGGAGTGTGCCACGCTGCTTTTGGCCAACATCATGAGGCCAAACAAATCGTGGGTTCTTTTTGCGGATTTGTGTGGTGGTTGTTTTTTTGACGTATTTTGCCGTTTCGTTTGTCGTTTGTTTGCTTTTTGTTTTTGCCGTTGCAATGTTTACATTTTTGTTGCTGGTGGCTTTGCGAAAAGGACGTGCGAGGTGGGCCTTGTGCAGGGGAGGCATGGCAAAAAGGCTTGGTGCAACGAGCAACCAATCAGTTGGAAGGGCCCGGTTGTTGTTCGTTAGACCACCTCTGGGAGACCGGGCCACATTGGGAGTTTTGACCCCAGAAGCATCGAAATGTGATGGCTTCCCTTTGCTTTCCCGTTTCCCCTCAACCCCGTTCCAAACAGAGTGTCGGTCGCAAGAAGGACACACCCTGACAGGTTCCCTTGTTTTCAGCGGCTCTTAACCCGGGCAGGCTGATCGTCATCTTCCGATGCCTTGGGATTTGCTTCGGCCTGGGCAATCTGCTGCGTTGGATGTTGGAGAGCGCAGGGCTCCACGAGAGCATCTTGCACACAGGTGGTTTCTTTGGGTTCAAGCTCGAGTTTCCCTTTGTTTTCACATTGTTTCGTGATTTTCACTGCTTGCCTTGCTTTCTCCGAAGCACACATCGGAGCAAAGACGCACGAACCACAGCTTTTGTCAGTCTTCTTTGTTGCACGCAACTTTTCCTTTCTAAACAAAGCCAACCGGCGTTTTCCAAGGCATCCGGGTCCAGCAAGAGTGGTTTGGCCGGGCCAAAGAGATGCTGGACACCGACCGTTTCATCTTCCACTCCTTTGTCGGGGCGCTGGGGGTGACCTTCGAGCTGCTGAAGCAGGCGGACGAGCGGAGCTGGGGGTCGACCTGCGGTGTGAAGGGGCATCCCTTTCTCCAACCAAGAGCAGGTCGAAAAGGTAAGTCTTATGAAACCACACAGGGATCCCGCCAGACTCGGACCTCCCAAACACCATGTTTTTATGTTGAAAAAATGGGAAAACGAGGGACACCCGCGAAACGAGTTCGCAGGTGGCCAACATGGAGGTGGACCCTCCGTTCGGTTTCGTATTAAATCGGTTTCCACACAGGGTGACCATCTCACAACCTCAGCTTTCGGTTAGGCCAGGTGCTTAAAGTGGAGCCCAGTCCTCGAACTTCCCGAGTCGAGAGGCGGACCTCTGGGGTTTCCTGGCGTGCCTCTTCGGCGTCTCCGCCTTGCTGGCGCTCGACGTGTTGCTGCGCTTCGGCGCCTCGGTTTACGCGAGAGCCCCCGAAAGGTGGTGCCTTCCGTTCTCCTGGTCTTTCGGGTCTTGGTCCTTTTTCGTTTTTTCCGGCTTGTGTTGTTTTGTTTTGTATTCTACTGTATTGTTTCGCGTTGTTTTGCTTTGTGTTGGCGTTGGTGTTAGTGTTTGAGTTCGTTTTTGTGGTTCTGTGTTGTGCTGTTTCGTTTTGTGTTTGTGTCGTGTTCATATTTGCGTTTGTGTTAGTTCATTTGTTCTTATTTGTTTGTTTGTTTGTTTGTTTGTTTGTTTGTTTGTTTGTTTGTTTGCTTTCTTGCTTGCTTGCTTGCTTGTTTGTTTGTTTGTTTGGGTGTCCAGTTTTCTATCGTTTCGTTTCTCCCCTTTCTCCCCAAACGTTTTTGTGGTTGTTTGTGACTGTTGGTTCCGCCACGCTGTTTAATCTTACTGTTTCCTTACCGAACCATTTCTAAGCTTATTTGTCTGTTTCGAGCTGAACTTAATTGCCATCACGATCGTGATTATTGTTTTAATGATGGGCATCATTGTGATCATTATGATTGTGTCTTGCAGTTTCTCTGTTTTGTCCACGGACCTGCAGGGGGGCTCTCAAACCTTGTGTAGTCTTTGCCCCCCCCATCCCCCCCGCAAATACGAAAAGAATCCCTTGGTCACCGATCACCATCCTTGCATCCTTCAGTTTTCATCTTTGTCTCTTTGTTTGCTTCTTATTTGGCCATTTTGTTCTTGTGTTGCGTCCAGGTTCCATCCCGCAGTTTTGGTTCTTTCGTTGGTGAACCCGTCCAGAGGCCTGGTGCGGCGCAGGTGGCTGGGGCGCAAAAACGTGCAGAAGGCCGTGCTGCTGCCGCTGGGGGTGGTGCTGGTGGTGGTGCCCGCCGCGAGGCGCGTGATCCCCGGGGGTTTGGCGTGAAACGCCATTGGGCGGCGGGTCGGCTGAAGCATCACATCACATACTTGTAGTACGGTGGATGGACGAAATCCATTTCGCACCACTTGCAAACAATGGGAAACCATTGTTTGCAGGTATTTCAAGGGAAATCAAATCATTCCAGGGTTTCTTAGATGGTGCAGGATTCCGTCCATCCACAGTATTACCTTTCAAAGTGAGATTCCTTGTGATTTTTCGATGTTTTAGAGGACATCGGGAACCCTGTCAAGGGTCCGGATTCCGGCTGAAAGTTGCGAGGGGACAATTGGGGGGGATGGGGGGGAACATTGGGATCAGTTCGAGTTACTTGTCTTTTTGGGGTCACTACATATGGACCAGAAGCAAACATGTTATTTGTGTCCGGGGGATGCTGCCAGTTTAGCCTTATACAAGCCAACCAGGGGAACCGTGTGAAACGCAGTCACCTTTTGGTTGCTGTCAATAGGAACCTTTTGCCCGCAGTCCCTTCAGTATGTTTGGACCCCCAAAGGGTTGCTGCTTTCGCAAAATCTTCAAGGTGGACTCAAATGAAGGGTGGTTCCCCCCCCAAAAAAGACGAGACGCGTAAGACATGGACCGCCTGCAAAAAAGGGCAAGCCTTTCCGGTGAATTGCAGCTTCGGATGTGCTGAAAATATGGGGCTTCCTGTGAGTGAGGCCGGTCACGACCTGAGGGAAACTGGAGAAACGGATTTCCCACAGCCAGGACCAGTTTGAGTATGATGGCTCGGGCGACCTTCATGCGGGGGCCTCCAAAAACGACTGGGGCTTCTTTTCGGCAACGACAACCGCATCCCCTTTGGCCCGCACCCCAACTTGAGGACACCCCTTCATGTGTTGTGTCTTTCGGGGACTGGGCTTGGCATATTTTCCTGCGGTTTCAAGCACCCGTCCCCAAAAGAGTACCTTTCCAATTGTTGGACCGCAAAGACCCACACCAATTTCAACACCCATCCATTCTGGAGGTTCTTCTCATTTTTTCCACATGGTGAGTGCTTGTTCCGCTGTTTTTTTTCTAACCACCAACCAATTGAAAGCCAGCTTCTGGACAAGAGGGCATACATTGCCCCGCTCAATCTTGTGGGGGCAGCATGTACCCTCCACACCTCGAGTTTCCTTGCTGAAAAGGTAGCTCTTCAATCATAACTTTGTTTTTGGCTTCCGGTGAGGTGGGCCTTTTCCTTGCTGTACTTCGGCCTTGTGCTTGTGCTTTGGCTGCTCGAGCGGCTAACACAGTACGTGGTGGAGAAGCAACAGGCCCGTGGATTAGGGCGGGGACCACTCCGTCGCTGTCACTAACTTGCAACAGGGCTCAAAATGGGTGTGTCCTTTTTTGTGGATATCTCCCCTGTGCGGGTTGCTGTACTGTGCCGAGGGCTGTTGCAAAGGGGACCTTCACGGCTCGGGAAGCGCTAGCCTTCCCGTGAAGGAGCGCTTCTGGGAGCAGTGGGAGTCCACCTACCGCGACCTCACCTTGGGGAAGTGTGAGGTGCGGGCCTTGTCGCTGGTTTGAAGCGTAGCTTCGACCCACTCATTGGAGGCTGACATGGACCGGGTTTTGGCAGTTCACGTGGGGGTGTCTTGAAATCGTGGGTGCCTTTTGGAACCAAAAGAAACCCACAGAGTTTTAGAGGCTCGTCATTCTTGGAAGCGGGTACCAACCCCCTTGTGTTTTGCTCTCAAGCATTGATTGTATATTGGGCGCTTCGGCGAAAGCGGAGCAGTTGCCGCTATGTATCTGTTGTTGGATCAAGAAAGGAAGTAGTGGATGACACGCGTGGCTGTGGCTTCATTGATGGTTGAGCTACAGGGTTCATTGATGGCCATGGCTATCATCTCTCTTAGGGGAGGGGATGGGAGGGGTCTCTGGCTCCCGGGCCCAGGGGTTGGCTCAGTTCGACCCAGCGCCAGGACCAATGCCCCTGTCCCTGCACGCGGCACCCGGCCGGCATCTCCCGCGCCCGCAAGCTGCCGCCGGTGCTGTGGCCCGGCTGGAGCCGGCTGCTGCGCGCGTGCAAGCGCCGGCAAGCCAAGCGCGACGCCGGGAAGGGCGACTCCCAAGACATTCAGAGCTGACTCAGGGTGGATCCCCTACTTGTGAAGCATTTTTGGCAGGGATGTGATCTTATTTGCGCTGCTTGGATTCTTCTGGGCATGGAGCAACCCTGCAAGTATCACTTGCATCTTCCATAGCAGCTGCAAGGCTGCAGGGCTGGCCCTGCCAACAGCCTTTGGATTCGGCAGAAAGCCGTGGATGCCATCGTCATCCCCTGAATGCCGAAGGCTCGAAGACCTCTCTCGCGGGATGAAGTATACGGACCCCCCTTGGGGGAGTTTGTTTATCGCGCGATCCCGGAGGCACTGCCGAAGGCGAAAAAGCTGGCGCATCCGTCAGGGACGAAATCCGCGAGCTATCTTGATGTGTTTCGGCTCCATCCAGCACTTTCAGGACTTGTGAGCAGTGTGAATCTGTTTCATGGTGAGATGTTTCATTGTCTTGCTGAGCATTCACATGCCAAGACGGGTGTTTTTGCCTGAGTAGTACGAGTCTCCCGCCCTCCTGCATGAACACAACGTGCGCATCCATGAGCTCTCGGACAGGCCAAGCGGTTTGTGGAGGCCGATGCCGAGGATACCGATGAGATCAGGCGAGGTCTGCCGAAGGGGCCCAAGGCGGGTAAACATGGGAAGGCGATCTTAGGACAACTTTGGGGACGCTCTGGCGCCAAAGTCTTGGAGTTAAGAGATAGTTGAACCATGAAATTCTGAAAAAAGAGGCCGACCGGGAAGATCCACATGATGCCATGATCCATACCGCTGCCTCCCTTGCAGCTTAAGCAGAAATAAGATACGGTTATGAAGTGGTGGGTAGACAAGTGGAAACAGTGGTGTCCACCAGCAGTCCCCCAATTGAAAGTCATATTCACATTATACAAAGGTAATCTGAACTTCGCAGCATGTCTGGTTTCAGCTTCAAATTTGTGATAGCTTGACACCTGGACGAGAATCCAAGCACATTCTGAGTATGCACCTTTTGGTTGAGCCAAGTTTCCTGAGGACTGCTTTTCTGACTCAGGAGGCTGTCCGGGGACATGGACGGGGACATGGACAACGAGACGGACTCCTCGAACGCGACGGACTCTGACCCAGCCGTGCCGGAGATCCTGACTCTGGCCATGTCGCTGAACGGAGTGAGGCTGGAAGGGCAAAAAGGTGGGGAACTCGGGGACCCCTTCAACGGATTCCAATAAATGGGTTCCAACTTGCACAAAAAGACCAATCATGTGTGTAGCATTTGGTTTGGAGCCCATTTGTTATGCATTTAGGGTCACCCAATGAACACCGAGATCAGAGAGGACTTTTCGCGATGTGACGCACGTTTCGTTTTGTAGTCGCTTCAGTGCCATGCTTTGGCCGTGACAGGGGCGGCAAGGGGTACCCGTCGGTCACCAAACAGTGGAGGTCTACATGTCGTGCAGGGTGCAGATGCATGCCATGGATATGGCTGTGGGTCAAAAATAGGTTAACCCCAAAATGGAAGCATGGTAAAGTGGCAACGTGGGCCAAAACCTGTGGTCCCCTGGTCATCTTGACCCACACCCATTGTCAGGAAACCTAAATGAGGATGCTTGAAAGACGAAGCTGGCCTGGTTTCAAGAGGTTTGAACAGGCCCCGCGGCACTGGCAGAATCAGCTTGTAGCAAGCCTGGGGTTCAGGTGTGAATACGTATGCGTGCAGTTGAGTTGTTTTTGGCAGCCGGCTCTCTCGGAGCCGTGTAACTGTCATCGAATCTGAGTCTTGGGGTTGGGGAGGGGGGTGGGGGGTGGGGGGGGGCCAATGAATGCGGCGCTTCTCTGTTGCGACCACCTGTGCTTGGGGTGGGGGGTGGGGGGTGGGGGGGGGGGCAATGAATGCGGCGCTTCTCTGTTGCGACCACCTGTGCTTGGGCCAATGAATGCGGCGCTTCCATTTCTGCTGTCATGTGCACCATAGCCGACGGAGCCTCCAGCCTAGGTCATTTCAGCTTCTTCTCGTGTAATCCAAGCGTTCATTTTCGCATTATGCTTATGTGTTCCAACAAGCGGGATTTTGGGCATATTTACTACGTATGTTTCCTCCAGCATCCCACGACGGAGCCTCCAGCCTAGGTCATTTCAGCTTCTTCTCGTGTAATCCAAGCGTTCATTTTCGCATTATGTTTATGTGTTCCAACAAGCGGGATTTTGGGCATATTTACCAAAGCACAATGCGAAGGCATTGAGCTCAGATCCGCAAAAGTTTCTGGCCAAGGCTCTTTGGGATTAGTCACGCGCAAGAGACGCAAGAGTATAAAGTGCGGGAGCCGCGCGGCTGATAGGTCCACAAATTAGATCCAAAAACGAACTTTTCGGGGACCCCCTTTGCACAGCCCATGTCGCAAGAAGTTTGAGTCAAATGAGGCAAAAACACCGCAAATACCAGTGAATTTGCCTTCTCGCACTTCAAAGCACACAAAATGCTGTCGCTGACAGTTACACGGCTCCCAGAGAGCCGCTTGCCTTGTTTTTGGCCTGTGCCATGGCTTGGTTCGGATTGCTGAAATCATGCTTGCTAGAATGCTAACTTGGGGTCCCTTGGGTTCTGACCTGAATTTCTTGACCGGTTCATTGGGTCTCAAGTGTCCGTGAAGTTGGCATTGTCGAAATCCCTCAGTGCAACGGCACGGATGTTGACACTCTTTTGAGTTTGTTTAGAAGAGGTCGCTGGATTCAAGCGTTGCGATTTACTGGTAACTAGCACTTTTCATTTGGTGTGAAAATTATGTGGAACAAAACCACATATGGTTGGTGGACATAGATATTTTTCTATATATCCCATATGCATTGCTGATATCCACCAGGATTGCTCCAAACCTCTAAATGATGGCCAACATTCAAGGGTAGCAAATTGAATTGGGCCCGTTGTCTACCCTGCCCCACCTTTGGACCCCCCTGTTGCTTTTCGAGGCCGACGTGCAAAGCATCTTTCTGCGGCCTCAACCTGACAGACGAGGCGACCCCCACCGTGTCCGCCGTTCTGCCGCTCAAAGGATCCTACGCGGATGGCACGGATGTGGTGCTCACGGTGTCCAGCATGAAGGAGTCGCAAGGGCCCCGAAGCCACTGAATGTCCTAGTCTTTGTTAGAGTCAGGCTTGTTCAGAATTGATGCCAAAGGAGTCTCCTTGAAGATCAACACGGTTGGTCTTGCCGCAGCCGAGTGCCATCCGAGCCCGCTCGTTCCGAACGTTGGGGCAAGATAGCCACGGTTGCTCCGAGCTTCTCACGAGTCATTCAGGATGATTTTTGCCTGGGTTTTTCCTTTGTGGGTACCCCCCCTCCCGCGTTTTTTCCCGTTTGGTGGTTGGGGGATGGTCTCCGGAGGTTCTCGCGCCAGGAGCCTGAGCAAGTGCAGGTCTACTTCGGAGAGACCGAGTGCCCAAATGCGGTGGTCAGCGGGGCCATGGGGGACTGGAGGGTGACGGTGCCTTTGTGCTCCTTCGAGGCCGGGGGATTTGTGTTTTGTTGGAAAAGTGGGATGAAGCGGCAAAGACTTAGTGAGGCAGGTCACAGAACTCGGGCCTGGCTTTGTGGTGTCGACTTGCCACTCAACCCTGACTGGCCCCTTGCAGACCGTGGTTCCTCAACCTGGTTGGGCAATTTTCCATATGGCTGTGTGTCAAAACCAATGGTCTATTTTAGTGGGGATTGGGATGTTCACTGGGCCATATGAGACCCGGGCGTTAAACCGCCAGGCTTCCAAGGTGCCGGTGCATCTGCTCACGAGCTCTGGCTACGCCGCCAAAGCATCTCCCTTCACGGGTGCCAGCTTTCACTTCGAACAGGCCCAACCCGGGGTGTCTCAGGGGGGTGGGGGCGTTGCTAAGGGTTGGGTTTCCAGGGCGCCTGAAAATTGGTTGAGCCAACTTCTTCTTTGAAGGGAAACCAACTGGAGATTGTTCAAACATGGGTTAAACATGTTTAAACATGCTGGCCGTGCTTTGATCCCCCCCCGCCCGCCCCCCGCCCGAGTTCTCTGTTTTTGGTTGAAGAGAAGGGGTGTTTGTCGTCTGCTTGAGACCAAGTGCCACCTTGGACAAGGGAGACAAACGTACGCATTTGTTTCTTCATCCTTCCGATGAAAAGACGTGGGTCTATGGTCCAGAGACCGACACCTCTGGTTTCTCCGGCACCTCCGGCTGGTAAAGACTTGGGGCAAGTTTTGCAGGTGCCCCTTGCTCCGAGAAAAACGAGCCAAGCTACGGTCTTAGTTGGGAGTTCGTCTTTTTCTTTATTTTGTTTGGGCGTGGGGGGGGGGGTGGTGTGGCCCACAAGGTGCTGGCTTTCTTTTTTGACTTGCCTTCAAACCAACCGCACCAAACACCCTCAAGAAACGACAAGCCCAGACTGGGAAAGAGAGAGATTCAGGAGCTGCGGCTGACCAGCGTCACTCCGAGCAGCGGGTCCTTCTACGGGGGCACCTTGGCCACCATCGCGGGCGCCGGTTTGGGCGCCACGACGGCAGCGCCTTGGCGAGGTGTTTCTCAAGGTATGAGCCGGGCATTTTTTCCAGGAGGTCCCGTTGGGTTTCTGTAGTCGCGCTTCTCTTTTGCAGTCCCCCCGCCCACCGCCCCAGTTTTCCTGGCAGGTTTCCGGTTTCCGGCGAAGGGGTCGGCGCTTCGGGTCCGAAGCGGTTTGAAGGTGTCAACAGAAGTCATCCAGAGACGGCGCACGAGGAATCCCCTCTGAAAACAGCTTCATTTTCCATCAGGGGGGCTGGTGCGCTTTCGCGCTTCTTAGAAGGTTGACAAGAGGGAGCCAAGAGCACAGGGGATTCAGAGGCGCTGGGCCCTGGTAGGGGGCACCAGATGTTTTGGGGTGTTAAACATTGCCAAAGATCCTCGAAGTTTCGTGTTTTGAACCCTTTGGGTTTTGATTCAGGCAGCGACGACGTGTGTTGTGCCTCCTGAGCTTTTTGGCAGTGCGGCCAATCAGAATCTGGGCTCTTTATATTGATTTTGCTCGACTCCCCATGCTTCCCCTTGTCAGCGATTTGCATATTACTTATTTGACCAACTTTAGCTGAGTTTCCTCTTGGACTGTTTCAAGGACACGAGGGGAGGTTCATGCCGGTGCTTTGGGGTCATTTCCTCCGTTTGCTTGAGGCGAACTATGCCACTGTGGGAGGCACTCCGTGCCAGGCAGGGCTCGGCCGTGTTGTTGCCCACATGGTCAATCCACCTTTGCTTCACAGAACCCGCGCCGCACAAACCCACACCCACACCCCACACACACAACGCAGACAACGCACGATGCACGCGCCACAAGCCATACAAACACAACATGCGGAAAGCCACGCAACCCGATCCGGCGATTCGCGGCCGAACACGGAGGTGACGGCGGCCTCCAACGACCAGATCTCGTGCTACGTGCCCCCCGCTGCGGCAGAGCTCGCGACGGGGGATGTTGCGGCGCGGACCATGGAGGCGGCAGTGAAGGCGGGCTCCCGGGGTTCCGATGGCTGAGCGCTGCTTTTCCTGGGGTTCCGATGGCTGCTTTTCGTGGGCTTCCGACCATCGATGGCTTCCACTACCGCAAGTCACTAGCAAGATGCAGGGGCTGAATGGGATACACGCCCTTCATAGCCACGGTAGTATATATATATATATATGTATACGCCGTTTTCTGCTGGGGGCAGTGGTTTGGGGCAGTGAAAGCCAGCTTACAGACAAGCAGGTTCGGTTTGCAAAACCATATTGTCCTCCTATCCACCAACATGGAACCCAGAGGGCCGTTTACTGGAAAAATCTTTCAGGACCCCTCAGTCAGGTTCCATGTTAGTGCATGGTAGGGTAAGCTCGTCCTGCGTGTAGCATCCCAAAACCAAGGGCAGCCGCTGAGTAGCTGAAAGTTTCGATGCAGCTTCAATGGGAAGCCCGGATTCAAGCCGACCTCATGAGTTGGGTCCAGAAAACCAGCCCGCAACGCACTTGTTCATGGGCACTCTCTAAATCCATTTCTTTGTTGGTTGGGTTCACAAAACATTGGAATCCCGGTTCCAATGTTCCAGTTCTTTTTCTAGCTACCGAGTCGGTTGGGAAAGCGGCCACATGGCTTAGCTGCTTCAGGTGCTGTCGGCATCCGTGGCCACGGAGCCGGGGCTGAAGGGCGAGTACTTCTTCTTCACTCAGGGCTCCACACTGCCCAGTCTGGACGGAAGGGCGCCCGTTTTTTTTTTTTGGGGGGGGGAAGGAAGGGTTGCAACGGACGCTGAGAGAGGCCCAAGCCCTACCAAACATTCCTGCCCAAGGTGGTTGCGGCTTTTCACGGTTGACTTTGATGATGGTAAACAACTGCCCGGGGGGGCATGATGTTTGCGGAAATCGTGCAAGATCTTATTTGCACCACCGGTTCCATACTTGATGCGCCAAAGGCATGGAGCTACATGTTCGAATATGTCAGGAGGTGTCAAAGTGAGCGGAAGCTTTGTTGCTGGATTCTTTTTAGCGGACAGGGCTTCCTGTCTTAAAAGTGGATTGGATGTCCCTGTTGTAAACTCTTGTGTGGGATATGTCCCCAGTCTTAGATTATTTTTAGCGGAACAGTACAGCTCAAGACGATGACCAAGCGCCAATACAAGCACGCAGTGCCTGCTTGCTCCAAAGCACGGAGCAACTTGCGAATGTGTCTGCCTTGCTTTTGTTGAGGTTGCTTCCAATGCGCCCCCTGGGGAGGGTTGGCTTGTTGCCTCATGCAAGACTCCCAAGACTCTCATACAAGCCCCCAAAGAATCTTAGTTACTCTTTGGACCTCTGCAGTCTTTCAATTTGGGTAAACCGTGCATTTTATTGAGCAAGGGTCAATATTCACCATCGTCTGCTGTAGTCAAGGAAAATGGATACACTTACCAACTTACCAACCGGAAATGGAGGTTTCTCCCCAGACATCTTTGACAGCTCACATGGGTATGTGCCAAAATAGGGGAACCCGCAAAAATGTTTTTTTCTTCTTTGGTCCCTTTAAACCCCAACAAGGGTACCCTCAAAGACCTACGCAGGCACCCACACAGGCACCCACGCAGGCACCCACGCACGACGCCCGGAGGTGCCAGACCTGACCCGAACGGACTCCACCATCAACTTCGCAGACACCAGCCAGGTGTGGGACGCCAACCTGCCCTCCAGCACCCACTTCGCGGTGAGGCGGGGGCTTGCCCGAGCAGAAAACGTGCGCGCACAAGCGCCGGTGAGTTGGTAGTCTGAGCGGTGAGTTCTGAAGTTGAAGGGGAAATATTGGAAACAAAGGTTTATGGTCTTGGCTGAGTTCTCCGTCAAAGGTGGCTGGTTGCTCCTGGCATCAGTCCAAAGGGTTCTGCATTTTTCAGCCGGAAGCCTTTTACTTGGAGTGCCATAAACAAGACTTATATTGCGAGAACCCTGGTTTCGACCATTGTACAATATGACGTGCATATTATTATTATATATATTTTTTTGGGGGTACATCTTTTGGACAGTTTTAGCAAGCACTCCCCGTTCCTGCACCTCTTTTGAGATTCAATCTAAGTTTAGTAGCCAGACCCAGCCTCATTGAAAGGACACTTTTAGGATGTTGTTCAAACAAATTGGGTTGCAACATGTTCAAATTGGGGGATGGTTTAAGCGTTGAGAGCCTTGCCTCGGAAATCATCTGGCGCCGGATTGGCGAGGTGGACAGGGTACATCACCGTGCAAAGCTCGGGGGACTACACCTTCTACCTGGGATCGGACGACGGGTCCCAGCTGCTGCTCGGACTCCGTATGGTTTGTCCCACTTGTGGGCTTTCCTTCCAAAAACCCCTACGAAGGGCACCAAGCCTCAAAAACGGGCTCTTCTATTTTTTTCTTCTATTTCTTTTTGTTGTTGTTTTTCTGCGGCATGCGTTTCCCCCCACCTCCTGTTGCAAGAGGTCCGTTCCAAACAGGCAGGGGGATCCCTGGGTGATGCTAACTACAAAGCGCACGTTTGCTGACGGAAGGGCTGCCCGCGTTTCTTGCTACCTCTCGGCGCACTTGCGACTCGCAGAGCATCCCATCAAAGCATCCCTCCCTCCACATACCCTTGTTGGACTACAACTTTCCCTCGTAGAGAGCTTGCATTTTTGGTTGCCTTGTTCACTTTGCGCATAGGGCTCTCAGCAGTCTTTGCCCAATCACGCGCTAATCACCAGCAAATCATGAATCAGCGGAAGGCCGAATGGCTGGAGGAACATGGCCCCCCCTTACAAGTGATTCCGACATCCTCCTGGAGGTATTCGAGCAAAGGGTTACTACACCCCCCCCCCCACACATGTGGGATGGTTTGATTGTTAGTGATATGTGAGCAACTGACAAAATCGTTCTTCCCTGCAAAGTGGTAATCGTCGGGATGACTTGGTATCAAAGAAGGGGCATTTCCACATGAGTAACGGGCGAAATGTACGCTCATCAAATTGCCACAAGGAAATGGTGGTTGCTCGACATAATCCAATGGCATTGAGGCACAGGAAAGAAACATATTGACTATTTCTTTGGATATGTCTCAAACAAGGTGACCCCCCAAAAATGTGTTTTTCCTTGTGGTTTCCTTCAAGACCATTCTTCAGCAACCCCAAAACTGGTACAGAGCCGAGCGCCCAACAAGAACGAGCACCATCCATTTTTCCACGTGGGTTCCGAGGTTCCTGGACGGGTCTCTGGTGGTGGACAACGATGGCACTCACGGGTTCCGGACCCGCACCAGTGTGCCTCAGACCCTGGCGGCGCACTCCATGCACATGGTCACGGTGCTCTTCTTCCAAACCATAGGACCCTCGGAAGGCGTTGTGAAAGCTACAATATCCAACAGCAATATATGAAAAACAACTATATATATATATATGCATATATATATATATATCATACATGTGTATATGTGTGTGTATATATATATATATAAACATGCACATACACATGTATTTTGCATACCCTTTATATACACACACGTTTGTTGGACCATTTGACCTTTGACCTAGGTCATATGCCGCCCTAGTATGGGCGTATCCGGGGCATGTGTCCCCAATCGAATGCGGGGACTCCCTTGCTTCTTGATTGGCATTTTTTGGCTGGGTGGGGGTTTGACTCATTTAGGCCTTCCTTTCGGTTGCACAGATTTTGAGACAGCGCATGTCGCCAGCATCGAAATTCGGTCAGTTGAAGGGCGGCGGGTGCAAGGGGTGTCATTCCCGACCGCTTTGTTGAATTTGGTAGATCCCTCTTACGAAATGGAACCAAGGTGCTACCAAGTGTTTGAGAGTGTCACTGCGAGCTGTGAGCCAGTGCGGTCCCTTCATCCAGAGTAGCTCACTTCTGGATCAAGTGAATCCTTGCTTTTTCTGAACCAAACACACCTGTGAACATCTTGTTTGGCACTTTTTTTTTGCTGGACACCAGGACCCCCCGCAGAAAGGTTCTGAGCCTAAGAATCCTCATTCGGGTATAAGTCAAGATTCAACCACCAGGGGACCGCAGGTTTTAGCCCTTATTTCTACTTACCAGGGTTCCATTTGAGGTACCTATTTTTGACCCACAGCCATTCGGTTCCTGCCGCATTGGGATGAGGAAGCCATGGGGTGCGGCTGCAGTACTTGGGCCCGGACACCGGGGGCCAGGCAGCTGGGGCGGGTGTTGGGGTTGGGCGGGGGGTCTGCGAGGGGGGAGGGGCCTCAGGAGAGGTAAGTCCCACAACGCGGAAGCTTTGTGAAAAGAATAGGCATGAAGAATCCGGGGCCTTGAGACAAACTGCGGTGGGCACTGGGGTTTGTCTGGTTTCTTGGGGTGGTTGTGAAAGGAAGCCAAAAGGCAACTAGTTGCTGGGGTCGGCTTTCTCATTAAGACAAGTCCAAATAGATCAGTGCCCACCATACCCAAACCAAAAACAAACCAGAAGGGGACCACACCAACTATTTCGAGGCACTCATCACCCCAGTCAGCGTTGACCCAACCTCGAAAGCAGCCTTCCGGAAGCTCCTTACGCTTGTTCCCAAAGCCAATCCCATGTAAGGCACTTGCCTGTTTTGACAAACCCTTTCTTGTGGCAACCCCTAGTTGGTGGTTTGGATTGGTGGTTTGGGATTTGAACCCCTGGCTTTTGAGGGCAGGTAATCCAAACCACTAGTTAGAAGCTGATTTCTCCAACATGGTCGGTTTCCTTTCACCTTCAAATGGGTACCCTCAAAATCTGTTTCGGGGTAATACTTGTGGATTCCCTTGAACCTGTTTGCTGTATTTTGGGCTTTTCCTTGTTTTGAAAGGTACCCCCCTTTTTAGAAGGATGCCAAACGGAACCTCGGGTTCCTCCCAAAAAAACGGACTAAAGGTCCCCCCTTCTTAAAAGGAGACCAACAGGAACACCATGTCTGCGAGGGTCACCTCAAAAACGTGACACTCTCATGGATCACGAATTGCATGGGTGCTGCACCCCGTTGGGGTCCGCTGAACCCAAAACGGCCGCCAGGTGCTGCTGGTGCCGAGCTCCGTGCTGTCGCACGGCAGCTTCGAGCAGGCGCCCACGCTGTCCTACGTCTACGACAGCCCCGACAGGTCGGGGGGCGGGGGCGGCGGTTGGTTTTTGGGTTTGGGGAGCTGCTGGGTCCCGAGGTTGGGCTGCTCAAAATGACTGAAGCTTTTAGTTTGATTTTTTTTGACCCTCCGCAGTCTTGCCAATCCGCAGTAAAGTAACATGAGTCAGGGTTTCTTCCTCAAGACATGGACGGTATGGGGCCCTTCCCCCTCCTGCTGCTCATCTCCCCACCCAGTGCAACATTCAGCTGGTGACCTCAAACATGAAGGGTCCAACTCAAATTCGTAGCCATTCTTAAATGACAACCAGGCATGTGGAAAGCCAGCTTTATGCGCCGACCGCGCCGACCGCCCAGCGCCCCCTTCATCGAGAACCTCACGGAGGCGGGGGCCACGCTCACCCTGGAGGGCGCCAACTTCGGGGCCGACGGCCACTTCGCGGCATTTTGCAGAGGGATGTTCGGACTTTGAACTCGTTGCCAACTTTTGTGGGTTTTTGTTTTCCGTCTTAAACCACCAAAAGTTAAAAGCTTTTAGCGGAGCAGAAAGCAACCGAGGCAAGGTGGCCCTGGGCAGCGCCACCAACCCGGCCGGGGGCCCCGGATGTCGGTCGTCGCGCCCGAAAGGCGCGTAAGGAGATCCCAAGGAGATGACCCAGCTACAAGCCGATCCCCGGAATCAATGCCCCCTCCCCAAAAAGAAAAGTCGACAGCCAACTGTGGAAGACAAATAAAACCCACAAGAAACATTGAGTCGATCGAATTCAGACTCGACATAGAATATTGTTAGCAGGTGGGCGCGGCACGTTTTTGCATACACGCTTCTTGTCACATCTCTAGATCCCCTGTGCAGAGATCTTCGATTCTTTGACATTGTGTTGGGCAGCCTCCTGCAATACCAGGTTGATTTTGGCTTCCCTGTTGGCAGTTTTAGTATGTATTTTGGCGCGTGCTAGCGGGCCATTTTGAAGCAAGGTAGAGTTGCTCATCCGTTTCAGGTTTCTTCCTCGTTTCACGTTTGGAATTTTCTTAAGATAGGGGACCAAACCGCAACAAAACCGTAGTGGTTGTCCCTTTGATTTTTCGAGGCACCACCTCAAAAAGCGTGCGTTTACCCTCAAAACCCAACGTCATGCCGTTTGCAGAAGGCTTTTGGTACTCTCCTCGGCACCTGGAAAGCCAGGATTACACTCCTGTAATTCAACAAGAGGCTCCTTTTTTGGCCCCCTTTTGGGGGTTCCATGTCAGTCAGGGGAGTGCTCATTGAAAATCTTTGGGCCTTTCAAATCGCATTCCAATGCAATTGCTTTGGGTCGCTCCTTGCTCCGGTGCTGACAGTTTCTCCCCAGACATCCGAAGGATCTGAACTTCCTGTGCACGGTCACCTCTTGGTCTGCCACCAACATCATCTGCTCGCGCCCAGAGCTGCCCTCCGGGGCATGGCAGGCGGGGCTTTCGGCTGACCAAGGGGGGTGGGCCATTGGTTGGATGGTTGGTTGGTTGTTTGGTTGGTTGGTTGGATGGTGGGTGGGTGGGTGGGTGGGTGGGTGCGTGGGTGGGTGGGTGGGTGGGTGCGTGGGTGTGTGGGCCTGTCTGTTTGTCGGTCGGTCGGTCGGTGATCGGGTCGGTGATCGGGTCGGTGATCGGGTCGGTGGGTCGGTTGGTCGGTGGGTCGCTTGGTTGGTTTGTTGGTATGGTTGATCACGGTGTTTGCGACGCATGTTGTGTGTTGCTTTGCGAAGGCTGGTTCTTGTTGGTGTGTCTATGCTTGCTGGCCATTTTGGAAGGATAGATAGTCTAACAAATTGTTTGAAAGGGGTCGTGGAAATGACCCGCCAGGTTGGTAGAACCATCAGTCAATGGGCGGGGTGACTATGGATTTGGACACTGACACCATCTGGAAGTGGTATTACCCCCGGGTTTTCCCAACAAGTGAGAGCCACCCCGGTTCCTCTCTTCAGGTAAGGCTATTGATATAGGATAGGCATGCCAGGCATTTCTGGCCTCAGGCACCTGTGATGTCCGACATGTGGCAAGTCAACCTGCCACAAGCAACTGTGCAGTCACGGGAACCCCCCATGCCTGATGTCAAGCGCATCTTGGGCGAAGCGCCGGGTCTGCAAAGCATTTTGGGCCCTGCATGCGCAGAGACACTTGCCTAAAAGCAGAGATAGCTGGGCCACTGGGCCACTACAAAGTCAGGTCCACGCGAAGGAGCTTCTGCGGATGCGGCACATATCCAAGAATCACCTATTGCCATACCCATCCGGGACCCTGCATCCAAGACATTACTGGAGATAGGTTTGTTTGCAAATTCACATGCAACCAACAAAGCCTTTTGCCCCCGAAAAACGGTTCCGGTGGTCGTGCGTTGTGTGTTGCACGCCCGTTTTTACGGGTTGCCGTTTGGGTTGCCCGTCGGGTTTGGTCGCCGACCGTTGTGGTCGGCAGGTCCGGGTGCACACGGCGATGGGCTGGTCCAACGTGGCGCCGTTGTTGGTCTGGGTGGAGCTCACGGTGACCTCGGTGGAGGCCAACGGCGTCAACGTGTCGGCGGCCTCCGCGACCTCGCCCTGGGCGCGGGCCCAAGCTCGGCCAGCCGGGGGGGGGTTGGGAGGCAACCAAGGGGTGGGAGGTGAAACGGGGTGCGTTTTGCCCACTCAAGTGGCAAGTTTCTTGTTTGTTTTTTTGTCTTTGGAAGTTTCCTTTTGGTTGGTTTAAGGAACTTCAAAAGCAAGCCAACTGTTTGTTAAAGTCCCCGCGGGGGGAGCTGTGCTTGCAGGGGGGGGGGCAGTGAGGTGGCTTGTTCAGATGGATGCTTTCAAAATCAAGGGACCCCTCAAACAGGGCTTCTTTTTTGATTTTTCTTGGTACCGTCAGCCCCAGCTGAGCTGACCCCAGCCTTGTCCCATGTTCAATTCGGCCAACAGAGTCGCACTGCAAAAGATGGCGCATGTCCTGGAAAAAGACTCATCCACGCCGTGGGTGAAAAGCATTGGGCCATCCACCCTCCACACTTAAATCAAGTAAAATATCCGACCTAGCGCTTGGAGTTGCTTGGGGCCTCAGGTGCTGGTGATGAAGTTCTCGGAGGGCGGACTCCTGGGCTACGACTCCGAGCTCTGGTCCAACGCGGAGCTTCTGAACCCAGACTCGCCGGAGGATATGCCGGGCAACGCCAAGTACCAGGCGCGCACGGCTTGTCATGGGGTCCATGTGAGAACTCTAGTGCAGGGGAGCCGCGGTTGAGAGGCACCAGAGTTGTCTCTCTGTCTTGGGCAGGCAGCAGGATGATCTCCGGAGAGGTGGTTGCAGTATCCAGGGACACCTTGCTATCTGTGTTGGTTCCCTAGTCACCAACCCACTGCGCATGCTCCCCCCCCAGAGAGTGGGGTTTGAACAATGTTCAAGCCCGTAAAAGGGGCGTGTACAAACAACCAGGGTTGCACAGGGGTTCTAGTTGTTTTGAAGGGACGCCGAAGGCAACCCGTTCATTTTTAAACCTCTCTGCTCATGGAGACGGCCAAATTCCCTGCTGGCATGGTTGTAAGACCCAGGCCCAAGTGAGCTTCCTTCTGGTGGGTTGGCGTTCCAAGAAGACATATGGTTTCCAAATTAGGGCCGCTTTTGGATCGTGTTCAGGTGGCATCGAAAGAGAACCAGCCATGTTGGGGGCGTTTTAAAGTAACGATTTGTTGGAAACACTATCACCTGAAAATCTGCTTAAACCTGTTGGCAATGCCCTTTCCCCATATTTCAAACAGCAGTTCATGTAACAGTCAAACGCTCCAGCTATCAAAGGAGGCATGGTGGTAGACAAAAGGTGGGGTTACTTTGGCCAAGCCAGGAAGTGAGTTGAGTGCAGGCCTACATGGACACCCCTTTCAAGCGGCTCCGTGCCTGCGTGGGCACAGCCTATGGCAGCTGTGCGTCCCATAGCTTCGACTCCGCGTACAGCTCTGCCTCCGCCCTTTTTACCGCCGGGCGCCTTGGCGAAGGTGATGGGTTTTGGAGGAAGGCCGTGGCAAAAAAGTAATGTGTATATGTATATGTATATGATATGTATGTACATATATATATATATACATATATATATACATATATATATATATATATATATATACATATATATATATATATATATATGTATGCATATATCTATATATGTACTTCTTTATACATATATACAAAAGTAACACAATTTGGCTAGTTGAAGCAAAATCCTATTCGGACCTGGTATCATATTGCGACATTTTGGAGGACTTCGGGCTCCAAATGATCAGGCTTTGGGGACCCAAAAACTGGAAATTCGAGAGATTGAATCTCCAGATTCTAGATTTATCATCCTGAAGCCAGGGTCCATGGGGGGGGAGGTTGCATACATATATATATATATACATTCATGTCTCTCCGCATATGGCACGCAGATCGATCAAGTGACTATATGCGTACATTCGCATATATCGATGCATGAATCGGCGCGCGTATGTGTATGTCTGCATAAGTAGTCATATATATGTATACATATATATGTATATATATATATATGTACATACATACGACCATACATATATGACTACGTATATATATACATATATATATATATATATATGTCTATTTCTTCCAAGACGGCACTTCAACGTGACTTGCTACCTGCTCCGAGGTACGTGCGGGACTTCTCGGTGGACCAGGGGGGCTTGATCCAGGCCCTGGGCGCGAAGCCGGGCACCTACCAGGCCTGCCCCATGCTGTCCCCGGGCTTCAACCTGGAGTGCGACTCCGCCAACAAGGCCGGCGCTGTGATGAGTTTTTTCTTTTGGAGCTGCGGGGATTCTCGCGTTTTTGTTTTTGTTTTTCTTTTTTTGGAGATCCGTGGAGTTTGGGAGGGGGTGTAATGTGGCTTTTTTGGTTCTTTGCTGCTAGGGTTGGTTGTGCCGAGTTTTTCACTGTGGTCTTGTAGTTGTGATTGTTTGCTGTACCCACTTCTTTTTGGGATAGCAGAATCAGTGTTGGCCTCGTCCGGCTAAGTAATGGTGCAATGTTGTGGTGGGAAACATCCTGACCCTCCAGCTGACAAGTTTCGTTTTGGTTTCCCTTCAAATACAGCCCAAAAAGGGGGTCCACCATGTTGAGTTTTGTTTTGAGGGACCCAATAATTCTTCTCAGCCCAAGGCCCGCTGGGGCTTCTGCGCCAACTGCCCCAACCAGCAGTGCCGCTCGGCAAGGGCCAAGTGCAAAGGGCAGGTTGGGCAGGATTACCGAAAGCCTACTGCCAGGGCGGCTTTGACATGGTCAAAATAGGGGGCCTGTCCAAAACACAGGGACAACAAACCAATTTTGGTTGGACACCGTTGTGAAGCTCGGCCGTGCTAGACAATGCTACAATTAACTCCAGGGTAGGATAGATTTTGTTCAGTAACAGCAGGAATAGGTACGAATATGACTCACCTGGGTCTGTCGCAAAATGATAGTTGAAGGGCAATCGAAAAGGTGCCCCACAATAGGTTGGACCCTTTTTAAGGGCAATCAAGAAGGTGTCTCACAATGGGTTGACCACCCCCCTTCTGCAACGCGATGTTTGCCCCTGTTTGATATAAACAAAGCCAAAGAAGCCAAATCGTAAACGGCATGCCAAGAAGACTGAAGACACTCGAACGCTTTTGACATTGTTTTTAACGGGACAGCAAAAAGGACACACACCACGTGTAGGCGCCAGATTTCTTCAAGCTGCAACACCCACGTTTGTTGGTTGGAACATTGTAACAGGGGCCCAATTAATCCCCAACCCCATAAGCCAACCCCCCCCCCTCCCTGCACCCCCCCCCCAACCCCCAACCCCCTCTCAGTGGCCCAACCCCACTGCCCAAGCCTCACCCCAGGTCAGCCCGAGGGCGGCGACGCGGACGCCGCGGTGGGCATCGGCCTCCGCGGCTCCAACTCCCCGGCGGTGGGCGCGGGCTGGACCGCCTACTTCGCCTCGGGGGGCGGCACCTGCTCGGCCACCAGCGAGACGCACAAAGACGCGGCCCGGCGAATGGCGACCAGGGCCGTCCTTGCTGAAAGGCAGCGGGACCCCCCCAAAAAACTGGGCAGGGCTTCTGCGATTCTGCCGATTTTGCGGGGGAAGTCCCAAACATTGCCAGACTTTAGCGTTGGAACCCGGACCCCCTTTTGGGTTTAAGGCAAGCCCAGGGCTCTGGGCTCAACCCCTCAGCATACTCATCAAGGCGAGCAACACATCGGATGGATCAGACACACTGAGCCATTTATGGCAGTTGACATCAGTGTTGGCTTGATGTATGCTTAGGCTAGGTTGACCACATTGTTGTGATTGGCCTCACAAAAAGGCGCCTCGAATGGGCCCAAGGAGAATCCCCATCAGCGCAGCAAGCCTCAGCCGCTTTGCTGGGGTTCCTGGATTTTACCCAAAGGGAGCTGGCCTGTGGACAAACGAAATCGACACCTGATTTCGATTTTGCCCATAGGTGAGGGTACATTTCAATCGCCTCGAAAATGCCAAAATCATGTATCCACGCACCAACCTAGCACACAAATACTTCACCAGTACGAACTGGGTGGGCAAAATCCTGCACCTAGTTGGGATGGATGAAACCCCTGCGAACAGGGGATAAAACACCCAACTGGTGCAAAGCCCACAGGGAGGGCTGGTGGATCATGTTTCAGCCAGTCGGCTGCTGCGGCTCGCAGGGGCCAAGCTCGGCTTTGCAAGAAGCACATCAACCCGCCTGGAATCGGTTCACGCCCCTGTTAGGGAGAGGATGCAGTTAGCGACTTTCAGGGTTTACCCAAAAGGTGTGTAAACTAGGTTTGTACCAACACCTCTAGGTAAGCCCCGGTCTTTAAACATGGGCCCCTGGTCTTTCAAAGACGCCAACTCGAAAGGACGCTGACGTGAAACCATGGGCATTTTTGGTGTTTCCCCCCCCCCCCCCCCCCGCCCCCTTGCACAATTCATGACGGGACACACAGGTTCCGTTGCCCCAATGAAAGGCTCGGTCCGCCTTGAATCACCCCTTGTCACTTCCAGGGCCCCTTTCCGTCCATTGACTGGCAACGACCGAGATGCATTTGTTCGGGCTCATGAGGTGTGGCTATGGGTGGAGAACCTGACCGCTGCTCGGCCAACTCATCGGACCAAACAAGTGACGTGGGAGGATGGACGGGGAACCCACCAGGATCCCTTGCTTTCGGTCTATGATTCTTATCTACCACACAAATTTTATGATCCCTTTGGGAGGGTTGTCCAGCCAAACCTCAGGTTGCCGAGACCACGGAGACGCTGCACAGCGGGCACGGGGGCGGGGTGGCGGTGACCATCGCGGGCAGCGGCTTGGGCTTCGACAAGGCGCAGACCAAGATCTCGGTCTGCGGGGAGCCCTGCGAGGCGCTTTCGGGGGGTTTGGTTTGGGGGGAGGTTTGGCGGGGAGAAGGGAGGGGGAGGAGGTTGGGAGGGGAGGGGGAGGGGGGGAGGTTGGGAGGGAAAGGGGCAAAAGGGTGTGCAGCATGATTTATATATATATATATAGAGACATTTGTACGCTTTTTTCACATACTTATGTACCGTTCTTTAGCAGCCCAAGCGCCACGTTCGGCTTGGCTCCCCAACCCCCCCCCCCCCCCCGCGAGGTGTCCAAGAGCGACGGCAGCTCAGCCACCTGCGCGGCGCCGGGCATCAGGAGCGAGGTAGGCGGAGTCTATGGACCCACACCTGGCTGAAAGGGTCTCCAGAAAACGGGCGGGGTGTCTTAGCTTTTTGGTTTCTTGGTTTCTTGGTTTCTTGTTTTCTTGGTTTCTTGGTCTTGAAGTGCCCCCCCAAAAGGGTGGCGGTCTTTTATCGACTCCCATACGCTGCAGGTCCCCCTCTGTACCCATGGTCATGGTGCCTTCCATTTTTTGGTTGGATACCGTAGAAACTGCCATGGCCCTTTTTTGGGCGTGGGCCGCACTTGAGCAGGCTAGAAATGCAAAATGGGTGTTGCATGAACTTGGTGTTGAATCCCATAAAAAGAACGGGGTCCTAAAATTTAGAACACAGCGCCATCAGAACAAACAATCCCAGTCAAAAGGGGGTCTATATACTTTTCTCGATTTTTCCACCCCTTTTTCGGCTTGCATGTAAGTGGGTTCGGTTGATTTTGCAATCGATCTTCGGCAGGACCATGGAGCTGATTGACACCTACCCAGAAGCCTTTCCCTCCACAGACCTGGCAGCGGCTGCAGCTATGTTCTATACTGACAGGCGAGTCTGTCTTAAAGCCCTTTGTCCAGGGTTTTTCTTGTATTTCCCCTTGGGGTAATTTTTAACATCACCTTTTGGGTCAATTTTAAGGGTGATGAGGTGATGTTCAAAGGGGCATTGTGCTCTGATCGTGTTTTAAGGGACACTGAAGGACAGTTTGAGACTCACCCATATGACCAACTGACACTTTTTTGTTTCAAGTCTTTTCTTAGTACAGAAAGGACCGGGGAACCTCCAAATGTTCTCTTGGGAACAGATAGTATCGTGGCTGTATCCCACCCTGTCTCTTGCCGGTTGCTTTTGGAATGGGGGTTCCCCTTCAACCCCTTGAAACAAACGAACATCTCCGGTGCATGGGCTCTTGAGAACTTTTGTTTGCTCCCCCCTTTCTCAGGGCCCGTGTAGACAAAACCACAAGCGGTCACCTGCCCCAACCAGAAGCGCCAACAATTCCCAAGCTGCCTTCAACTCCCTCCCATTTGTTCCTTCTTACTTTAGAGCCTCCGGCTCAGTCCGCCGACATTGTCCTCTCCCTTTTCTTCTTCTTCCTCTCTGCCTTGTCTCCCTCGTGCGTTCTGCCGTCCTCTCTCCCTCCCTGCTCCCCATCCTCCCCATCCCCCCAAGCCTCTCTCTCCTCAATCTCTCTCTTTCTCTCTCTCTCTCTCTCTCTCGCTGTCTCTGTTTCTGTGTCTCTTTCTGTCTCCCTGTCTCCTTCCTGTCCACGCCCCTCTACAGAAAAAGGGTACCCTAATTCGAACCTCTCTACTCTCTCACTTTCTTGCTCTTTCTCTCTCTCTCTCTCTGTCTTTCTGTGTCTCTCTTTCTCGGTGTCTGTCTTTCTCTCTCTCGCTGTCGCTCTCTCTGTCTGTCTCTTTCTCTGTTTCTCTGATTCTGGCTCTGTCTCTGGCTCTGTCTCTGTCTCTCTCTCTCTCTCTCTCTCTCTCTTTCTCACTCTCCGTGTCTCTCTCTCTCTCTCACTCTCTCTCTCTCTCTCCCTCTCTCTCTCTCTCTCCCGCTCTCTCCTTGTCTCTCTCTCTCTCTGCATTGCAGTCACGTCCCCTCCTGAGTTGCCTCGATGTCCGGGCACGGCCCCTGCATGACCCGGAACTGTCATCTCACTACTGGCTTTCCCCTTGATTTCCCCTTCATGTCCTTTTCACGTTTCCCATGTCCTGGTCCTGCCCCTTCCATGCCGTTCAACCCCCCCCTTCATGTCCCTGACATTTTTCCATGTATGTCCCGTTCTTTCGTTGCGAGTCATTTCCCTAAATCTCCCGTCGTGCCGATTGGTTTCCTTGTGCGTTGTTTCCCTTTCCTTCCCCCTGCACTCCCTTGCATGTCCCTTTCAGTTCCCCTGGGTTTCCCTTTCATGTCCCGCTGCTTTCCTGTCATGTCGACTTCCTATTTCCTCCCCTCATTTCCTTGCACTTCCTTGCTTTGCTCCCCAATATTTGCCGCCAAAAACACGGTTTTTCCAGCGTTTTCGCAATTAGAACGTCCAAAAACACAGAGTTGTTTCCAGATTTTCGGCAAAAGGAAGCAGGAACCCCAAACCAGCAAAGAGCCGGCAGGGGGAATCGAGCCTGGGACCATATATATATATATACATATATATATATATCTATATTAAAAAAAGAGAAAAACAACAAAACAATCAGAATAAAAAAACAATCAACAAACAAACAACATACATATGTATATATATATATATAACAAGTGAAACATAGAGATCACTTGAACATTTTCTCCCTTCCCCTTTCCCCACATCTGTTGCCGGAGGGGCGAGCTGGAGAGCTCCCTGTCGGAGCTGGCCTTCAAGAGCTCCGTGGACCTGCAGATCGACTTGTCGCTGGGCCTGGGGCCGCGGAGCGGCTGCTGGCTGGGCTTCGAGCTGCCGCCCGGGAAGGAGGCGGGGGAAGCGTCGAACGGCGGCCGTGCCGTACGTGCCGTGCGTGCCGTGCGTCGGAAGTCGGAAGTCGGAAGCCGTGGGAAGGATGATGCAGGGGGCTTTGTCTGTCCTGGACCAGATCAAATTTGGGGCCGCCCTCTTTGATTTGAATGGGTACAGTCGTTCCCACCAAGGGCTCTGTCCTGGGGTTTGTCCGCTTTCCAAGTGGCGGATTTTTCTCGGGCGTGCCAAGAAGGTCCGAAAGCAGGTGTCAAACCCCTGAAATGGTTGGTTTCTTTGCGGGGTCCTTTAAGAGAGTGTGCAACAGCGTGTTGCCGCTATTTTGGAGCAGCACTTTAAAAACATGGTCAATCCCAAACCTCGAAAAGGGCTCGAAAAGGAAAAGGAGAGTCTTCTACCCTGGGTTTTGTGGGTTCCATCTTAATCATGCAAGTTTGCTTTTTGGGGATCTCTCTCACAAGAACCTCTTCGGCTTCCCATTTTTGCGCCCAGGGAAAAAACCAAAAAACGCAGCTCTTCGCCGCGTCCGGTCCGAGCCTTCCGTCCGGGCAGGCGCTGGTGACGGCGGTGGACTTCTTTCCACCCACGGATCCCAATCGGAGGGCCAAGGCGGTGTTGGGTTCATGGGGACCTACATGGCCGGTCAACACCAATGGGAGCCCATTTTGGGGTAGCACCACCCATTTTAGTACCTATTTTAGTGGTTGGATTGGGATGTTCGCTGGGGGTATGGGGTTTTGACCGACAGCCATGTACCTCTTAGAGGAACGTAGGGAATTCCGTGACTTGGTGGGTGAGTGAGATGTGCTTGAGATGGGAAACGTGCCCAAATGGTCCGAATGCTGAAAACTCACGGAATCAAACGTGCACTCTTGAGAGACCGTATCGCGTCATTGACCACTGAGCATTGATAGGCCGATATGCAGGCTCGTTCAATGGCATCCCCACCAATCAACAGGCCAGTCTGGCAATCTAGTGCTCCAAGCTGGAGGGTGGGGTAATTTTCCAGTCGGCAGTCCAAGGGTGTAACGCACCTGTGCAGAGATGGATTTACCTTCCCGCAAGCAAACATGGAAGGTTCCCTTCGCATACAGAAAGCCGTCTTCCAAAAAGGTTTGTACACTTTCATGTTTGTTGGTGGGATATCTATGGTTAGAACTATGGTCAACATTGTTGGAACCGCAACCCCCCCCCCCCCCGCCCCCAAACAATGAACGTGGGGGACCGCTTTGGTTCCAAAGCTGTTCAGTTGCTGGACGCGTTTCCAGCGCGAGCGGCCAGGCTGCGGAGACGGTCTTTGAGGCGGGGGAGCCCCGAAATGCCCGGCTGCTTGTCAGTTTCCTTGCGACGCTAGCCAACATTTGCACCCCCGCTCCTCCCCCCTCCCCCCCCCACCCCCCCCCCCACCCCCCCACCCAAAAAAAAGAAGCACAGTATGCCATCCAAACATCCCGCAGCTTGACAATCAACCGTTCATACGATGGAGGATACAAGCTGCGGACTTCCCCTTCGTTTGCTAATGCTTCCATTGCGAATGTTTCTGACGACTAACATGAAGCAGCCTTTCGGAATCATCTGGGCGACTGAAATCGCGGCGTCACATTATTGGGTATGCGACCGATTTGGGTCATGATGAAGGTTCCCTTCTTTCAACCCATTTCTCAATTTGGGGTGGGTGAATCAAGACCAAAGTTCCCAGAATTGTTGGCAAGCCCCGCAAGTGTCGCTTCTGTTTGAACATTCCAAAGCTCCAGGGGTCGATTCCCCATTCTTATCAACCATCGTTCTTTTCAAAAACCAGCCGTTTTCCCAGGGATTCCGGAGGTTTTCTAGAAAGAAGGATCCCTGGAAAGAATGGAAATGGAAGGTGCCCCTAGAAAAGCCGTCTCCACCCGACGTCGGGTGGAGCCCCTGCCAGGTGCGGAGCTTTTCCGGCAACGTCACGTGGACGGAGATCGCCTCCGCGCGCTCGGCGACGACCACGGGGGCGAGCATCGCCCAGGGGTGGACGTCCTACCCGGTGCAGGGCCCCGAGGGAGCCCCTCGGAGGATTTGAGCGCCTCAAGATCCTCGCAGTGTCGCTTTTTCGACTTTGCGTCGGGGGATGACTACCCTCCCAACATGGAAGTGCACAGACCCCTGTACAAAAACTACTTTCCTCTTGGAAGGGCCTTTTTGCACTTGGCGGGAGGGCAAATCAAAATGCGAGTATGGTGCCAAATTCAAACTTTCACCCAGCTGTGAAAGTTAACTGAATGACGCGCTCGCGCTTTTCCCCATGGCGAGTGGAAATCAGATGGCTGGCAGAGCGGGAGGGGAAGAGTTTAAAAATGGCTTTGGGGAGGGGGGGGAGTCTTGGTTTTGTTCTTTCAGGAGTGGCTTCAATTGCTTTGTCTTCAAGCCTTGTGTGGGGAACAAATGCCGTGGAGAGAACACAGCCCACCTCTAAAGACCTCGGAGGGCGTGCAGGGTCATTCTCAGAATGGTTGCCGGGAGTTTCTTTGCGAAGGGCATGAACAGAAAGCACATACGACATAAATGTTGCAAAGGATAAGCAGAACCCTCTTCCTCACTAGGAAAAGGCCGAATGTCGGCCACATCAAACGCAGCAAAGGCCAATGAGAAACATGGAGTCTGGAAACTCATCAAAAGGAAATCCGCAGAGAAGTCGGAGCAACGGACAAAGCACTTGACAAACAAAAGCAGACGAGACTAACGCAAAGCCCCAAGGGTCATGAAACTGAAAGACTAGCCCGCCAACAAAATAAATCCACTCAAGAGATGCTCCCCAGCCTGCTCTCCCCCCAAAAAAGCAAGCCTCTTGGAACACGTTTCCTGCTGAAGAAAGCAACACAGAGAGAAGCTTCTTGGGGTTGGCAGGGTTGGTCCTGCGCCAATGCCGGGGACTTTAGACAGCCATCACAAGGGTTCCTTTCAAGGAAACGATGACCATGACGCACATGAGGAGTTTTGACTATTCCAGATGCTTATGGTTGCGTCGATTTGCGAGCGTACTGATCACTGACCGACTTCCTCGTGTTTGTCCCCTTGCTCGCACGTTTGGAGGTCCACAGTGCTGTCTGGCCCCCTACCGAAATACCACGAGGCGACGAGAAGTTTGTTGAAATAGCAGTGGCTCAAGCATCTTCACCTCCCCGATTGCTTGCTCTGCCAAGGAGAACAGCTCGGTCGTCGCGCAGGCCCGGTTGAGCTGCCATTCCCTGCAGGTATGCCCCCTGTTGCCAAGGTTGATTGAGTGTCCTTGGTGTCGGTTTAAATTTAGTTTCGTTTTTTTTTTTTTTCCAACTCTAATCGAGTTTGCTTCTGGGGTGATCCAGTTTGAACTCTGACTGGGCTCTCGTTTTTCTTGGGGTGATGCTGAAGGGAACATTTGACGGTAGTTTTTCTGGAAACCATTTTTGGGGTTTGGTTACCAAATTGAGTTGATGGTTGGCTGGTTGGTTGGTTGGTTGGTTGGCTGGCTGGTTGGTTGGTTGATGTTGATGTTGATGTTGATGTTGATGTTGATGTTGATGTTGATGTTGATGTTGATGTTGATGTTGATGTTGATGTTGATGTTGGTTGGCTGGCTGGCTGGTTGGTTGGTTGGCTGGTGGGCTGGCTGGCTGGCCTGGCAAGCAGGCTGGTTGGTTGGTTGGTTTGTTGGCTGGCTGGCTGGCTGGTTGTTTTTTTGGTTGGTTGGTTGGTTGGTTGACAGTTGGTTGGTTGGTTGGTTGGTCGATGGTTGGTTGGCTGGTTGGCTGGCTGGGTTGGTTGGTTGGCTGGCTGCCTGGCTGGCTGGTTGCTTTTTTGGTTGGTTGGTTGGTTGGTTGGTTGGTTGGTTGGTTGGTCGGCTGGCTGGCTGGCTGGCTGGCTGGCTGGCTGGCTGGCTGGCTGGTTGTTTTTTTGGTTGGTTGGTTGGTTGGTTGGTTGGTTGGTTGGTTGGTTGGTTGGTTGGTTGGTTGGTTGGTTGGTTGGTTGGTTGGTTGGTTGGTTGGTTGGTTGGTTGGTTGGTTGGTTGGTTGGTTGGTTGGTTGGTTGGTTGGTTGGTTGGTTGGTTGGTTGGTTGGTTGGTTGGTTGGTTGGTTGGTTGGTTGGTTGGTTGTTTGGTTGTTTGGTTGTTTGGTTGTTTGGTTGTTTGGTTGTTTGGTTGTTTGGTTGGTTGATGGTTGGTTGGTTGGTTGGTCGGTCGGTCGGTCGGTCGGTCGGTTGTTTGGTTGTTTGGTTGGTTGGTTGGTTGGTTGGTGTTGGTTTGTTGATGATGGTTGGCCCCTGGCCCTGCACGCTCACTCCCCCCATCGATTTCGCTTCGCTCGAGGCCTTCCGTGTGCGCGTGCTGCCCGACGCATGCAACTCCGCGGGGGAGCTCATGCGCGGCGTGCGGTTCCGCGGAATTTTGCTGAGCACGGGCAACGCCAGCGCCTGCCCCATCGAGGCAGTCTCGTCGCTGGTTGTTGGTGGCTTTTTGCTGGATTTGGCCCGGGTTGAGAAGCAAAGGTTTGGGGGAAACAATCAAAACCTGGAGGCCAAAAGGATCAATGGTGGTTTATTACATGACGGTGGTCCCAATCCAAATCCCCACTTTGAAGCCCAAAGGAGGATTTGGCCCCGTACATGCATGGCCTCAAATCAACCAAAGAACAGCAAAGTGGTCCAAGGCAATTCGAACGCCACGGGAAACTTGGTCAACCCCACGCAATGGATCCCATGGACAAAATGATTTCATGATTGACTAAGACGGGTGTTCCATCCAGATGAAGGGTCGACATGGAGGGCCAAATGGTCGATGACCGTGGCTCACGTAACTATCTTCGATTCTGGGTAGGGCACCGAAACTACATTCAACATTGTTAGGGTGACCGATTCCAAGGTACCTCTTGATTGGAAGGGATTCCGACTGAGCAAGACCATGGATTTGCATATATATATAATCAGGGCGCCCGCAGGTTGGGTACAACTGTTCGCCCTGACGCTGACGACGCATTTTGACGACACATTGCTTGAAAACACATTTGTTGGCAACGCACCATGACGACACATTGGGTGACGACACATTACCCCCGGACGACGCAATACCCGGTGGCGACACATTGTGACGACACATTGGGTAACGATACATTACCTCCTAACGACGCATTTCCCAGCGGCAACGCATTGTAACGACACATTGGGTGGGGACACACGACCTGTTGATATTCATTATATGTTTGCGATGAAGGACATGGTCTTCTCATGGACAGGGCAGCGGCTTTCTCAAGGAACATGGATAATAAACCCACGTGTTTGCAAACTCTTGTGCGAAGCGTCCGCACGCGACAAGTCATGGCAAGCACACTTGCACTCCCTCAACTGCGAGAAACGATGTGCTTCACTGCGTAGGGTTTGGGCTAAGTATGAGCATCTTGTGCTCTGCCCTAGCGCGCATTGAACCAAGGGGGACACCCACAACAACGCGCAGCCCTCGAGCCTCCAACGGGAAGAGTCCCTTAGACATCCGTGCATGCAGCGGTCATGACTGCAACCGACATTGAACTCCTTGCAATTGACGACGACAGGGAGCCCATAGCTCAAGAGGGGAGTTGAGAAAGATAGCTATCGAACAAGATCCCTATCTGTCAGGCTGCGTGTTGTGACTTTGCAGTTGCCACCTCATGGCAGGCACACTTGCCCTCCATCAGCTGCAAGCAACGATGTGCTTCACTGCGTAGGGTTTGAGCTAAATATGAGCATCTTGTGCTCTCCCTAGCGCGCATTGAACCAAGGGGAAAGCAACAACAAGGCGCACATGTAACCCGTGCCTAGAAGCAAGCTGTGATTCATCTTGCTGTTTCCTGTCGCTTTGACTATTTCAACCACTGTGCCTTTGCTTGAACCCGCGTCTGGCTAAGATACATGTCATGGTGCTTTCCCCCACAGTTTCGTTTCAATCCTTCGGCTCCTCCTCTCGCTTCACGTCCTCCTCTTTGTTTCTCCTTTTCGTTCCACAACTCGGTCCTTGCTTGTGTTCGAAATCGTAGGCTTCACATCTTTGCAACCGGCATATAGTCGGGGTGCATTTCGTCTTCGAGTGGATATTCGCCTTCAAAGAAGTCGTCTTCGGAGCTCTTTTTCGGAGTTCGTCCTTGGAGTTCGTCCTCCGAGGGTAGTTCGCCTTCGGGTGGGAATTTGAAGTAATTCGTTCGTCTTCGGGTGGTAATTCGTCTCCGGGTGGGAATTCGTCTTCGGACAATTCGTCTTCGGAATCGTCTTCGGGTGGCAATTCGTCTTCGGGTGGCAATTCGTCTTCGGGTGGGAATTCGTCTTCGGACAATTCGTCTTCGGGTGGCAATTCGTCTTCGGGTGGGAATTCGTCTTCGGACAATTCGTCCGCGGAATTCGTCTTTGGGAAGTTAGTCGTCTTCGGGAGGTATTTCGTCCTCGGAATTCGTCTTTGGGAAGTTATTCGTCTTCGGGAGGTATTTCGTCCTCGGAATTCGTCTTTGGGAAGTTATTCGTCTTCAGGAAGTAATTCGTCTTCGGGTGGGAATTCGTCTTCGGACAATTCGTCTTCGGACTTCGTCTTCGGGTGGTAATTCGCCTTCGGGAGGTAATTCGTCTTCGGACAATTCGTCTTCGGAGGGAAATTCGTCTTCGCTGCTTTTGCTTTTTGAGCACACTCCAATGTTGAATTCGTCTTCGTAATTCGTCTTCGTCTGCGGGTGGAAAAGTGGTACCCGCACAGCGGCCGCAATGTATACATATATATGTATACATATATGCACGTATATACACATACATACACATAGATGAGTACAATCGAGGTTTCATGCTCCCTTTTGGGGATCTCAAGTGCATCATTCACAAGCAGACCAGTCCCCTCAACCCCCCTCAACCCCCCCTCAACCACAACCACCCCCCACAAACGCTCTGAAAACACCCTGAATACACCCTCATCCACAACGGTGTTTCCCCTAATTACTGTATATATATATATAAAAGTACATATATATATATATATTAATATGTTATCTATGTAATATATATAACAATATTACACATACATATATATATATATATACATATATATATATATATATACATACATATATATATATATCAAACCATATGGGACCCAAACAAGTGGATTTCGTTCGAATCGGCCAGGTGGAGGCGGTGAGCCATCCCTTGGCCTCCGCCACCGGGGGCTCTGCGCGGCTGCCGGTGACGCTGAGCTACAGCCTGGCGCGCACGCCCGTGGTCACGGCCCCTCGGCCTCACGGTTTTCTTGAGCCCAAGGGATCCAAATGAGCACCTTGAAGAGGGGAGTTTTGGACAGTTTTGGTATCCCACATGGGTGATTTGACCATTGCACAATTTTGCTTAACCCCTACTTCTGAGTTGGGGGGAGCTTTAGACAGTTGTGCTGCACCACAGTGGTGATTTTGACCATTGCACCATGTGCTTGAACCTTAGGTTGGGGAGGGGGGGGGTGACTTGCTCTTCGGGGAACCTTGAAGCTTTTTGAGTTGCACACGTGTATCTGCCTCCTTGTCAAGGGCTCCATTTTCGGTGCACGTGCCAGGCGCTGACACCTTCGCGCGGCACCGCGCGGGGGGACACCTTGGTGACCTTGCTGGGCGAGGCGGGCTGTGTGGCTCAGGGGGGTTTGGAGTCAAAGAGGCTGAATCCATTTGTTAGAACCCAGGCTCAAGTGCAAAGGGCCTAAATTGAAATGGGGTGGCGGGGTACAACAAGATGCATTATGGTATATATATATATACACACATGTATGTATACATGTGTACTTGGTGTTGTATATTTCTGGGCAAATCACAATGAGCTCGTTTGGATTTTGAACGATCTCACCCAGGAATCCCCTTTGCAGGTCCCTTATTCTTGGTTTGGGACTTCTTGCGATTTGCTCCTATACTTGTGCTCATCGACCATGTAGCGATGCCAGATGACGCATTCTGGGCAAGTCAACTGCAACTTGACAAAGGGTTTTAGCTGCCAACGATTTGGGCCCCATGATAATGTGTGTGACAGGGATCCTTTTGATTTGTTGTTTGAAGTGCTTGTAGGTGGGACTTTCTCCTTTCAGGTGGTTTTTTCACCTTCTTGTTTACCTTTGCGGGGAGCATAATATGGGATGGGGAACCTGCCGCTTGCGTCTAAGATTGCGTCGAGAGGCAAAGGTGGAGTCGAAGATGTCTTGCTTCTTATCCCCGCCCATTTGGCGGGTTCGAAAGGGGATGCTTCTCTTTTTGGATTGGGACAACTCTCGGGCCGTCCCTTTGTGCAGGGCTTGGACCCTTTGGACGCCAACGGCGATGCGGCCACAGTGGCCGCAGACAATGCCAACATCATGCTGAACGGCTACAGCTGCCTGCCGCAGGCAGGGACTCCGGCGGGGTAGAAGCTCACAGGAGTTTCATTGGAAGACGGCTGTCAAGTTTTCGGGCAGCCTCCTGTCCACTTCTATGATGGAGAAAACGGGGCTGGAAATCCACTAGTGCCGGTGTTTTGAGACGGGTGGTCCCAACTCGAAGCTTTTGCGCTTCCGCAGACTTCACGGCTGTGTGCTGGGAGCCTTATTGGGAACCAATTGCGGAAAAAGGAGCCAGCATGACACCCGTCGTTGTTTGGGGTCCCCGCGCTTTGGTGCATTCCCGGAACATCTCCGACGACAAGTCCTGATGAATGTTCAAGTCCACTAGCCCAGGGCTTTCTATTGTTCCTTCTTCCAGTTGCAAAGGGAAAACCCCTCGAGCAGCATATAATGTTGGGGGGTTGTCGTTTGCTCAGAACCCTCCTGCAAGCCAGCAAAGGAATATTCTCAAGGCAAGCATTGTCTCACAATGCTCACCTCCTCTTTTTTGTCCGAATATGTCGACTGGTGTGACCAGGCATGGGATCGGATTGTGAGTGACTTGTGCTCGCTTTGCAAGCTGTGAACAAAGAGTACGTAGGAGTTGCCACCTGGCACAGGGCTGCGGTTGCCTTCTTTCAGCACTCACTTCATGTTTGGCCTCAAGGAAGATATTGGTTTGGCCTAGTTGGGGGACCCCAAGTGATTGGTTTTCTTTTGGTTCCCTGTTGAACCATTTGGGCCAAATAGCTGGCCATTTGGCGCTTCCAACTCGAGGGCTTCCCTTGGTCCGGGATTGGGACTCACCGAGCTTGGCTATACACCCTTTCCCATGACCCGCTTTGTTGGGACTCAGGGTGGAAGTCTCCTAGTGATAATTGTGACACCGGACTCTAGGTGAGGTTGCTTGGCTTAGAACGATACTGACAACGCAGTCATGGACTCCAGGTTGGGCATGGGCCTCAGGTTGGTTTAGAACGCCAATTCGTGAGTCCATCTTTCCATTTTCCGACTTTCTTTTTTTGGTGGCGCTAACCAATTCCCTGCTTTTGTTTGCGGCGCGGGAATCAATCGGAGTCACAGTGTCCCGGGCCGGAGCTTGGGAGGAGGCCAACAGCTCGGCGCTGAGCTGTATGACCACGGAGCGGAACGCTGGCATCCAGGAGGGGATCGATCGATCCATGTCCGGAGGTTCAAACATTTTCGTGTTGGGACGCCATGTGCCTCGAGTGTGATGGACCAACAAAAACAGTACATCGTTTTGGGATGGGATCCATTATCGGTATCAATTTTCGAGTCGAGGTCCGTTTTGAGGTTCGCTTGAACCCCGAAAGGGGTTTCAGTCCGGGGGGTTCGGGACCCTGAACGGTTTTGTCAGCATGCGCAAAGAGGTTGATGTCCTTGTCGATGGCTCAGCAAGGTTGACAGGTTCCTTCTTGGTGTGGATCGAGAAGGGAAGAGTGCGGGTGTGCTTCGTGCCAATGACCCGTGAGCCATCGACATACTCCCCCCCAGGATTGTCCTTACAAATGAGCCTCTTCACTGATGAATCATGGATCCATGTCTGTTATCGTGTTGGCCTTGGTTGGTTACGCAGAGGCGGGTCTATGGTCACAGCGTGTTTGGCCTTGAAGCTTGTTGGGAACATGGTGGCTGCAATTTCTGGAGATTGATAGATAGCTGACACGGAAAGCTTGAACCATTGAATCAACTGACAGCATAGTCCAAGAAAGGCCCCTGCATCTGCATGGAGACCTAAGAACAGTGCAAGCTTGCTTTATCTCGAGGATGGTTGACATAGGCGCTTTTCTTCGTGCTGTGTAGTTACAAGCGAAAGGAAGAGTCCAATCTCTTTCCAGACCGACAGGCCTGACGCTCACTTCGCAAATCAGGTTTCTGAGCAGGTTTTGCTCGGCCTTTTGTCCAGCTGTTCGACACTATGGTGTAAACATGCGTCGGATGTCGTTTCTACCAATGACCTATGAACCAGGTCATCGACATGTCACATTGTGTATGTATATATATATATGAGAGAATTGTGCATCCTTGAGCCTCTTCAGAAAGCATTAGACCATGCAAGCTATCATTTTGACCCTGGTCACGCAGCGCCCCGATGGTCAATTCTATTGCTTGTGTCTCAAAGTTGGGGACCCCACGTTGGTATCCCTCAGCGGCATCAACAAGCCCATCAAACAGGAAAAGCTCAGCCACTAGCTGATGGCACCGAACGACTCAGCACCGCTTCCATACCGCTGATTCTCGAAGCATTGCAAATGGGAAGCAAATTGTAACCCGAGTTTCGCCCTTGCTTGGTTTGCGCTTTGTACCCAGCCTTTTTTTCTTTCTTCTTTTTTCCGGTGTTAGTATTTCATGGCCAGAGGCTGGGCCCATTGACCACGGGAGCCTTTGGGGAATTCCAGGCGCCCTCCACGGAAGTCTTCCTGGCGGGCAGGGGCTACGCCATCATCTCCGAGCGCTCGGCGCCTGTGCTGTGAGAGGGGAAGTCGTAGGATCACCCGGCGGCCACCTGCCGATTTTACAGCGAGCTCACCGAGCCGGGGATAGACCGAGCGAAATGAAAAGGGCCCTTTACTTTTGGATCCCTTGTCTCGTTTTCTTGATCTAAGTGGCCGTGGCTCGCAAACCCTCCCCTGCATATGAATTTGGAGCCCAAACAGGCTGTCCCGCAAACGGAGCTTACGCCAAAACGATGTTTTGTTAGGTTCCGTGTTCACCTTCAGGAGTACATTGTTCATTTTGTTCCTGGGGCCCAAAATGGAGGTGTGCCAGGCTAAGAGGCTTGACAGATCTGGGAGTTCCTAGTTTTTTGCCGGGGGGAAGGAGGGGAATAGGTTTCCCCTGCCTTCCTGAATGGGGGTCGTTTTCAGACTTCTTTGCTTTTTTGTGCATTTTTTTCTTGAAACGGGAATGTTTGGACCCACCTCAAAAGTGGACGCGTTTTTTCTTTGGGGGGTCTTTTGGACATCGCTGAGGAAGACACGGTCTTTAAGTACGTGGACCGCTGGAGCAACATCTACAGCTGGCTGGACTCCGAGCCCCCGGTGGACGGGGACTCGGTGATCGTGCCGGAGGGCCAGGCCATCATGCTGGACGTGAACTCTCCGAAGCTGCCGCTCGTGCGGAACCAGCGCCGTTTAACAATTTGTCAGTTGCTATCTCTATGTTTGCTTGTTTGTCTGTTCATGTGTTTGCTTGTTTGTTTGTTTTGGTTTGCTTGCTTGCTTGCTTGCTTGCTTGCTTGCTTGCTTGCTTGCTTGCTTGCGTACTTTGCTTGCGTACTTTGCTTGCTTGTTTTGCTTGCTTGTTTTGCTTGTTTGCCTGTTTGCCTGTTTGCCTGTTTGCCTGCGTGCTTGTTTGCTTGCTTGCTTGCTTGTTTGCTTGTTAGCTTGCTTTGCTGTTTTGCTTGCTGGTTTGTTTGCTTGTTTTGCTTGTTTGTTGCCGGTTTGCTTGTTTATTTGTTGCTTGTTTGCTTGCTCGTTTGTTTGTTTGTTTGTTTGTTTGTTTGTTTGTTTGATTTTTAGTTAGTTAGTTAGTTAGTTAGTTAGCTAGTTAGTTAGTTTATTTGTTTTCCTTGTTCTTTTGTTTGCTTGCTTGTTTGCTTGTTTGCTTGTTGGTTTGTTTGTTTGTTTGTTTGTTTGGTTGGTTGGTTGGTTGGTTGTTTGTTTTTGTTTGTGTTTGTTTGTTTTTGTTTGTTTTTGTTTGTTTTTGTTTGTTTGTTTGCTTGCTTGCTTGTTGTGGCTCGCTGGCTTGCTTGCTTGCTTGCTTGCTTGCTTGCTTGCTTGTTTGTTTGTTTGTTTGTTTGTTTGTTTGTTTGTTTGTTGCTTTGTGTTTGGTGTTTTAAAGCAACCGAGTTCTGTTGTGGTCGTCTTCTTAGCTATCTTTTGTATGGTACTCTTCGAGTCTACTAATTCACTGTTAGTTGCGTTCAACCTGGGTTTTGTTGCTTTTTTTGCAAGACGGGGGTTGTAAGTAGTTTGACTTCCCGTTTTCCGGTCCGATTTATTGGGCAAGATGTGGCTCGTTCTTGCTGATGCATGAGGTTGATTCAACCTCGCTGGCAAGCAAGCAACGCCCACACGCACACACCTTGGTTGTGACATTGGTTGTGTGTGTGAGTTTTGTTGTTGCTGCTGCCCCTGATGCTCTTTCTGTTGTGATTGCAGCTATTGGTGGGCGTCGTCGTTGTTGTTGATGATCATGTTGTTGACGTTGTTGGCGTCGTCGTTGTTGTTGCGGTTGTTGTTGTGGTTGTGGTTGTGGTTGTGGTCGTGGTCGTGGTCGTGGTCGTGGTCGTGGTCGTGGTTGTGGCTGTTGCTGTTGCTGTTGCTGTTGCCGTTGCTGCTGCTGCTGCTGCTGCTGCTGCTGCTGTTGCTGTTGCTGTTGCTGTTGCTGCCGTTATTGCTGCTACTGCTGCTGCTGCTGTGGTGGTGATGGTGGTGGTTGCGGTGGTGGTGGTGGCGGCGGCGGTGGCGGCGGCGTTGGTGGTGGTGGTGGTGGCGGTGGTTTGCTGTTGGTTACACAAAATTATCTTGTCCTGCTCGTGACACATACCCATGCTCCGCTGAGGTTCCTACTGCTTATCATGGGATACTTTGAGTTTGATCGCAAGGAGTGAGATCCGTCTTGGGGCGGGGCAGTCTTTGAGTCAGGCCGAGCATTCTGGAAAGTGGGGAATCCCGATCCCAGTGGCAACTAGGCTGAAAGAGTCATGGTCGCTTGGCAGAGCGACGTTTCAGAGCCATCTTGTGCGAGGGCCAAGGGATTGCGAATCTGGGCAAAAGGGTCACTTTTAGTTGGGTTGGCGGTTGCCACGCCAGAGGGCAGCGGATTGATGCCAGCTTCAAACCTTCAACCTTTCACTCGTTGTCTTCGGTTGGAACGCGAACCGGGTGGAACTTCGACCCGCGAGCCCCCAACCATTAGACGTTTTTTTGTGGGGTCGGCATTGCTTAAGTTGTCTCCAAGGTGCGTTCCCTCCAGGCGTCGGCAGAGCAGGTAATTTCCTCCTGCAAAAGAGAGCACCCGGGCCAAAAGGCCGCCGCAATGTATAAGGGGGCAGTATAGTAAGAGCTTCGGTAAGAAGGCCAAGCTGATCTTCTTCTTTGCTACTCCGCCACTCCCAAAACCCACCGTCTTTTCGGTTGTTTCCGTTTCAGTTTGGAGGACCTGAGCCTGGACTCCACGTACATCTGGATCGCGGGGGGCCACTTCTTCGTGGGCTCCGAGGAGGCGCCCTTCCTGCAGCAGGCCACCATCACCCTGCACGGGGACCGCTGGAACACCATCGAGCTGCCGGTGATCGGGTCCAAGCGCCTCGAACGCAAACGCGCGCGTTACACAGAAAGATAGGAAAAGCGGGGAAAGAGAAAAGGCCGGCTTGGGAGGTGGTTCTACTAGGCTTCACGGGGCATACAGCACAAATATGTGTATGTGTATATACACATACAAAAATATATATATATATATATATGATTCCTAGGTTGGTAGAACCAAAAGTGAGTTGGGCTTGAGTCCTGCTCATTTGGCACGGGCTTGTTGTAATTCAGGTCTATAAGCGCCATGTAAGAACCAGCAGTCAGCTGCTGGCCCATTTGGCCTGGGCGAAAGGAGAATGCCGAGCTTTTGGCCCTGGGAATGGGATGGGACGGCTGAGCTTTTCCGGGGGTACCTTCCATTTCCATTCTTTCCAGGAATCCTTCTTTCTAGAAAACGATGGTCGGTTATTGAAAAGAACGATGGTTGAAAAGCATGGGGAATCAACCCCTAGACCTTTGGCCTCATTTGGCAGCGGCCCGCAGCAGTTGTTTGACGCGTGGAGCTGTCAGGATGCTGGTGGTCACCGACCTCGGCGGCCTTGGCACCTGTACCCACCAGCACGAAATGACTGTGAGGCTCTCTGCAAGGGGCAGGCGCGGCTTGGAAGGCTTAGGCACCACGAATGAGAGGAGCGGCGAAGGGCCACCAATTTTAATTATCAGAACCCCATGTTACATGGTGACTGGACAGAATATGTCCACAGAACATGTCCATGTAAATGATGTCCACGAGAGTGTCCCCAATCGACCTTTGAATCCTGGACGTGTTCGAAGACAGATCCAACACTTGTTTAGATGATGCAAGCCAAGCAGACTACCAGCATGGGGATGGGAGTGTGTCCCCCATTTGAATGCCACCCCCACGTGGGTTCTCGAAATGGTGCTTTTGCTTGAGTATTCAAAAGGAACGGGACACCGGCTGATTCCAATTTTAAGACACATCCATTTGGGTGTGTCGTTTTTGTGAGACCCTTTTTGTTGGTGAAAGGAGACCCAAACATGCAACCCATGTTTCTTCTTATCTTTTTGGGGGGGATTCCGTCCGGCAGACACGCGACCGTGTCTGGGGGGAACTTTTGCGGCGGCTTGCGGCGGCTTGCGCGAGGCACTACGTGGACCCGTGCCCGGTGAAGCTGGTGGGGCGCCTGGAGCTGCACGGCAAGCCCTCCATCAGCTGGACGCGGCTGGTGGAGACGGCGGCCGCCGGAACCAGCCTGCTGCGCCTGGAGGTAGGGGCGGCGCGCGCAGCGGGGGGGGGGAGGTGGTGAGGGTTTCTTTTTTGGGCCAAGGCGAGGTGCCGAGCCTTTGGCTTGCAGGGCTTTCCATCAAAGGAAACCCATTTTGCGGGGTCTTCTATTTTCAGATCCCATAGGGGCCCACCGGTGGCTTTCTTTTTTGCATGGCGAATCATGTGCCAGTGCCATCTATTGTTCTTCCAACTGGACGCCTAGGTCTTTGGCCCCCTTTTGGTTGTTACTGGGGGCCAAAAGGACACCAACCATCTGAGAAACGCCAACTCAGTGTTTGGCCATTGATTTATAGCAGTTCCAGGTTGGTTTGCTGAAACCCAGCAACTAGGTCCATTTCCCAAGAAAGTTTTGGGGCGTCCTTGGTTAATCTTCCAAACAGTACCTGTGGCATTTTGATGAAATTCCTCACGACCAATTGGGCTTTTCTTCCAAACATGGGGATGCAACCCAATCTCTTGTCAAATCCTGTATTTTCAGCTGCAACCCATTCTCTCCGGGCGCAACAAACACAACTCCAACCCTGGCGTCGCGCAAAGAAGCCCAAAACGAGCCTCGACTGCATGAGGGAAAACCCATGTAGGTCTTGGGGGTGCTCAGTAGGAAATGTGGGAATGAACCCAGGGGTCCCCACGAGAGGAAACCACCAGTGGCATGGTTTTGAAACGGGTCCCATGGGTCATAACCTATGGCTCCATTTTGGGGCGGATGAACACCCATGTACCACCTATTTTGATGTTCACCAGGGGTTTCCTGGGTTTTGACCCACGGGTCGTTCCATATTCCATGTCTCGTTCCCCGCCTCTCTCTCGCAGCAAGCGAATTTGGCAGGAAGCCGTGGACTGGGAGGTGGGCACCGAGATGGTGATCACCCCTTCCGAGAGAGGGGAGGAGGAGGAGGCGGGTTGCAAGGTGTTTTTTGTGTTTTCCCAGGTGTCTTGGTGTAGGTGGCAACCGGCAACCTGGTTGAACAGTCTTTTGTTGGTTTCCCTTGAGGAAGCTATTTGAACAGCCCTTGAGGGAGGTTGGTTTAACCCCTGCTTGAAGTAGGCAAGCTTGAGCCACTATGGTTTAAACGGCCTCGAGATGGTTTCCTTCGAAAGGAATGAGACCAGCGGGTTGCCCCACACAGTGGAAGATGGGAGGCTTTATCAGTCATCAGGAGAGCCTTCCCTGACTAGTTTGGAGGTCGAGAATGGAGTCACGAATGTTTTACACAATGAGTGACGTGCACAGACGCACTTGCTATAAACAGGTAGCAGGGTGGGGGCCGGAAGAGGCCTCTTTCCGTGCTACGCCTCGTGCCTCATGACATGTATATATGTTGTTGTTTTTCTTTGGCGGAGATTTTGGGGTCACTGAATGTCTTGTCCGGAGCCTGCTCGACACTTGGAGACACACCCGCATCTGACTCCCTCCATTTTTTCTCAGTTTACCCGAGCGACTGACGAAGCCAGGTGCGCAAGGTGCAGAGCCTTGCGGACGGCGGCCGGGAGCTCAGATCGAGGATGTGGGGATGCAGTTTGGCACGGAGGGTGCGGAGGTTCTTCAAGAAGAAGTCCAAACCACAATTGAACCCGTGTGCCATTATTTTGTTGACAGAGAAGGGTTCTGCTTGTATGGTCCAGGGCTGCCAGTGACGGTCATGAACCCCAAGTTTTGGTTGATTGGAGATTATTCTTCTGGGCAAAATGCAGCTAGGAGCCTCACAAAGGGTTTGGTTTGCGACCTCACCCATCAAGGATCCCCCTTAGTTTGGGTTGACGCATTACGACAATTCTTCCACGAGCTACGGTCCAGTGCTGAAGCACGCCAGTTTTTGCGAAGGCTTGTCCGAGTTCCAGGGAGGGGGAATCAGGGAGTTTTGAGTGGATCCGTGGTGCATGAACCTAGTTTTCCACGCGTCGCGTTTCGAAACAGTCAAGGGAAAACACCCCAACAAGGCATCAACAGTTGAAATCTGCGTGTGTGTCAAAATCTATAGATCCTGGAGTGGTTCGCGAGTGAAGGGTTTTGGGGCTGGTTTCCTTGAAGTTCACTCAAGGAGCGGAAGTTTCTTGTGCGCGAGGCCTCACCATTGAGCTTGACCAGCCGCTGCGCTTCGAGCACTTGGGCATTTGGCGCGGCCCTCGAACGGGATTTGCTTTCCGGCATTTGGAGGAGTCGTGGGGCATCAAAGCAGCCCTCTAGATTCTTGGGTACCCCCCTAGGACAGAAAGGGAGCTGCCATAACTTGGAGTCAGGCTTCCGAGAGTTCGTGTTTTTGGTTCTGTTTGAAGTCGAAACGGGGTCCCCCATGGCAGCATGCGTATGGCTGTCTGAAATCTTTGGATTCGGTTCCAAGTCGAGAGCCAACGGGCCAGTTTCAGCCAAATCGGGGAGGTACTTCAACGACGAGCTCCCCAGCCCCACCGACTTGCGCGACGGCCCCAGGAAGCTTGAGAGAGCGACTTTGAGAGGTGGCGCTAGCTGCGTCCCTGCTTGCAGAATCTGCGTGATTGTTGGCACCGCGATGGAAGGGCTGGGTTGCGGAGGGGGGTCTATGATCAGCTTTTTGAAATTCAGGATGGTCAACTTGCCACCTTTGCCAACCGGCCTTCTCCAAATGAGTCGAAAACGTTTTGCTTTCCTTTTGGTTTCTCTTTCAATTCTGTCCAAAAGGCTTCCACACGCTTCCACTTGTTTGGTGGGATACACCACAGTATGCCCTGCTAAGAACAAACACGCCAAGCAAGAACTCTCCGCTCCAACTAGTTTGCCACCTTGAGTATACAGATGGAGCGCATGGTATGCCGCCGCTTGCCAACGCCTGCAATCATGGAGCTCGGTTCGGGTGTGTCCGAAAGTCGACTAAGAGTTCGGACCCTTCAAAGACGGTTGGTTTATCACTCTTTTGGAGATGGTTGAAAGCTTGGATCCTTCAAAGACGGTTGGTTTGTCACTCTTTTGAAGATGGTTGTTGTTGTTTTTGGAGGTTGGTCTCTTGGTGCATTTTTTCTGGCGATCTCGGAGGCGCCGCTGTGGGACGGCTGACCCGCAACGTGAAGGCCAAAAAAAACCCAACAGACCGGGACTCCGAGAGGGCGGCTCCTGTTCCCAAAAGGGTGTGGCAAAATCAACCCCCGAGTCGTGGTATTTCTGCATGGAAGCCCCTGACTCTCTTGTGGGTGTGCCGATCGAACAGTTCAGGGTCAGTTGGGCAAATTCTGAGCGCAGCCAAAGCGGCAGAAGATATCAACGTTCCCCCAATCCCCAAGCCGAAAGCCAACAGCTTCTCTCAATGCACGAAGTGAGGGGTTTTCAACGTCGTTTCCCATCCAATTCCCCAGGTCAACAGTTAAGCGGCAAATGCGCCCGTCAAAGAAGGCGTTCCACCTCACCCCAGCCCAAACCGAAAGTCAATGCACGTCAGAGTGGAGGCCAACATTGCCACTGAGGGCGCACACCTTTGGTCAGTCCTAAGCCACTTTAGATACCTGAAAGGTGCGCTCCGATAGAATAGTTCACTGGGTGCCATGGAACACCAAGCGGGGCGTGTTTAGTTGCAATGCAGGTGTGCAGCAAAGATTGCACGTGTGCGGAGCGTTGGAGCAACACAACAAGAAACATCAAGAAACGGTCCCCACCCCACCCCGGACCTGAATCCTGATCCGGACCACTATGGAGAAAAGATGCGCCCCTCGTACCAAAAGCACCAAAAATGGTCGCAAACAAACCATTCGCCCAAAAGGATTCTTCTAGAGACTTTTTTTTTACGACCAGGGTTGCCTTGATACTGTGACTTGAACCAGTAGTGCATGGTATTTCCGTTGGTTTCGGTCCATGATGTGAACATTCCGGCTCACAGAAAAAAACCGCCCTTCACCAAACCCAAAGGCCCAAAGGGCTTCCATGGACTACGGACTGCAGTCGGGAGGCGAAGACTTTGAGCCTTTCACTTTGAGGGAAACAGCTGACTGGTTTGTGAAGCCGGGGTGAGCATTATCCTACAAGGGGAGAAAACTACCTCTCTGTGTACTTGCCTCAGACACGAATAATACCCCTAAATTCGAATGTATAAGTTGGTACTCAAGGCAATGTGCTCCAGCCCATTCGCAGGGAGCGGTATCCTTGTGGTGGGTTCCAGGTGGACGGGAGGGTACAGGTTGCGGCACGGGGAGGGAGAAGGGGGAGGGGCGTGCGGCGCAACTTTGACAGGTGCAGGGGGACGAGAAGTCTCTCAACGCGGGCAACGCGGCGGGCCCAGTGAGTGCTCGCCCAGGGCTACCCAGATGTCCTCCCACCAACAAATACATACATTGACGTATGTATGATATATGGAATCGCACAGCTTTTGGATTGCCCTGTGCATGTGGGGTAAACATCACTTGGCCCAAGTGTAGGCGATCCCCATATCCTAGGTCAAGGGACCAGCCCAACATTGCCCAGCCCAATGCCCCCCCAAGTGTTTCCTGTGTGTGAACCTTGAGGCACACCTCTGGAATGAAACGCTTCCGGCCTAAAAATCCACAAGTTCTGTCTGAGAGGACTAGTTGTTTTCCCAAGGATGTTGAGCTACACCTCTGGAATGAATCAAATCCCAGGCTTTAAACTCCCAGGTTCTGCTTGGGACAAAAAACTTGTCGCAGCTTTGTCGCCGACCCTCGCCGAGTCTTTCCTCTTTGGGGTGCACATGGGCGCCTTCCATGGCGGCTTGGCGGAGTTCTTCCTATGCGGGGGCGCGGAAGCCACGCGGTGAACGCCTGGCGCTTGATGTTGAAGGGGGTAAGAGGGGGTGAAATGTGTTTGTCGCAAGGGGGAGCCTCCAAAAGGGCTGGTGTTCTTTGTGTTTCCCTTAAACAACGACCCCGGAAACGGTATCGAAGAAGGCACCCTCAAATGTTGAGCAACAGCAACTTGACAGGGTGCTGTGTTGCGGAGTTACAGCTGGGGAGTTGATTCAGGGCTGTTGTTTGCCCATTCTGGAGTACCAATCGCAAGCAATGTGGCAGAGAAAGACGTTCCAGGGCCATCTGAGGACAGTGCTGCCAGGACTGAGGCCTTGAACCATGGTGCGGCCTTTGCCGGCCTTCCTTTTCGACATGCTCAAAAGAATTGCAAAGCGAGCTCTGCTTCCTGTGGTCCGGAGACCATAAACTTCCAACAAAAAACAGCATCCTGCCTGCGACGCAATGATGTGCTTGAACATTCGAACCAGGGCCACCCTAAGGAAAGCATTGTAGCTTATGGAGTTGTCAACCAGGGAGCCAAAGCCTCTGACACTCTGACATTCACATGAAATCATGCAATTAATAACAACCCCTTCGGTTAACTTGCAGCGGGTCTTCTATGTAGGAGATCCGGCCACTTTTGGGAAAGCAACAACATCTGGTTGTTCAACCGGGGTCTTCCACTTCGAGGGGGAACCCCGCCTTTTTGGGCTGTTGGGGGGTTTTAATCTAGGGGCCTGGCTCGAGGTCAAGTATGGCGGTTGTTGTTATCAAGTAATGCCCGCCTCGGGCGTCGGACTTTTCCTTTGGCAGATCATTAATTTCGCAGATCGAACAGGCTTGAGCTTTTCGTTCTTGCCTGCCTGGAAGTGGCGCGAAGCGGTGCCACGCTTTTCCTCTTGCATGGTTCCTGTTTGGGGCAAATCGACAACTGGGCACATGGAGCACGAGCCTCCAGGTGGCATCATGCGGGTGGAGAACACGGAGCTCACCCGCAGCGGCCAGGCCTCGAAACTCCTTTCGGTCTTCAGTAAAAAATATGAACCTCAAAAGCGGCATACATCATTGAAAGAAACACACACCGAAATACTCCTTGTTCATACCCCTTGTTCATACCCTTTGTTCATACTCCTGGTTCATACTCCTTGTTTACACCTCTTGGTGTCAAAACAGAGGCCTTCCAGAGCCATTTACCAAGGGTGGGTACGTACAAACTAGATGGATTCGCGTGGTGTGAAGCAGAATCTTCCCGACCCTTCAACCAGTTCACTTCGGAATCTGCAAAAACATTTGGCGCCTTGTCCCGCAGGCGGCAAACTTCGGGCGCTACTCCTCGCATTGGCACCACTTGTCCCCACACCGCACGGTGGACGTGGTGGACGTGGCCGGGTGTCCGAAGATTCCCGCTAAAATGGGACACCCCGCCCATTCAACCAGGAAGGTTATTGAACCTGTGTTCCCATTCGGCAATCAGGAAGCAGGACGGATCCATCTTTGTTCAGGGACAGCTACTGGACAAGAATCAAAGCCCTCGGGCGACGTGAGCTTATCATTTATGATCTATTTGCCACTGGTTCGGTGTTTGCCGTTTTTGTTGTTGTTGTTGTTTGATTTTTATGTACTTTTACTCGCGGAGTCCTAGGCCTATTTGCGCAACAACTCCTACCACCACACCTTCCAGCGAGCGGTGGACGGGAGCCCCAGACCGCAGCTTTTTGGGATCTGTGCTTAAAGGGAAAACTAGGAAACCCCTCGAAACCGGCAACATGTGTATGTGTACATATATATGTATATATGCGTACATAAATACATAATATATATATATATACACAGACAATGCTTTGAGTACATCAGTCCATCGTCGCTATACATTTACTCCACCTGTGGGGTTCCATTTCAATGGAGATAAAACCAGGTTTGCTACTTTTGACACACCCAACTCGTTTGGCGTTTAGTTGAGGGCCGCTTTGAGGATAACTGAAAAGAGAATAATTTTTGCTCCTGGATGCCCTCTTCTTTTCCACTGGATGAAGCACGCGGTTCATGTCAAGAAGCTCCAGGGGCAATCAGGTTGAGCGGACGCATAGTGATTGATCCGTCGAGGCAATGGGTAGGTAGGTTTGCCCAAGCCCTGAATCAGCCGTACTTTGAACACTTCTGCTGCATGCATTTAGCATTGAACACACACACACACACACGCACGCACGCAAACACACGCACACACATTCGGTGTTCCTTTTTCAGTTTGAATTGCATGTGCATACACATCTCTAAATATCTACATATATATATATATATATATCTACATATGTACATACATATACATATATATATATATATTGAGTAGACATTTCGAGCTTCTTGTCAACTTGACAATCTCGGCGCATGCACCGTGCTTGACACAGATGCTTAGCTTTGAGACAAGTGCCGCTTGGGACATGACCCATTGTCAAAGTTCAGGGGAAAACAGACGTGGGCCACGACTGCAGGGCTGAGGTTACCTACAATTGCCAAGTGTGAGGGCAGTTGCATGTCAGAATATTCTCCCAGTTGTTCCATGGCCTTTTTCCCTTCCAGCTGAGCAGTGAGAAGAGGGGTTTCTTGACAAAATGCGTTTCTGGGGTGAACGGCCTAGGTCTTTGTGACTATCACTTTGGACTAGCAGGTCAGATCTGCACCCCGCATGTCAGGTGGTGCACTCCACGGACTATGCTCAAGTGCTGCACAACGTGGCGCTGCAGACCAAGGGCCATTCCTATTTCACGGAGGCCTTCGGGTGGTCCACTGGAATTCCATTCTGGTTGTGTTTCCTCTTTTTGTGGGTGCTAGATCAATGATCAATGGAGCTGGGGGAGGGGCCGTAACCACAGCCGGCCGTGGTTTGAGGTGGAGGTGAGGGAAAAGCGGGGTGGACATGGCTCGTCCCTTGCGGCCCGTGGGCGTTTCTGAAAGGGGGGGGGCCGAACGTCAATTGGTGGGGTGTGCCTTGTGTTTCTCAGTAAAAATGCTTCAAAAAGGTCCGAGACCCCCTCTTCGAGTTGAGCAAAACACCCACATGCTCTTGGTTTCAAGGTTTGTCCGAGGATTGTTGTCATGTACCCGTAAAGGCGTACTTCTCATGGTATACCCGATTTTCAAATATTGTCTATGTATGGAGTAAAAGGCGAATGAGAAGCATCCAGCCCCGCTTTAGTCGTCTGCTGCCCGGTTTAGTCGGGAGTAGTAAGGTTATTGAAGCTTCAATTTAGGTTTGTAGAGGCAATAGGAAAAAGGGTTTCAAGACAGCGTTGCTCAACTGATTCCCAATTCAAATCCTACGACACGGAACGTTTAAAGTGTTTGATTCCTATTGGAACTATTAAAGGCTATTTGGAAAGACCTAAAGCACTGCCACGCTTGCCTTGGACGCCAGGCGGGTGACGAGGTCTTTGTGCACATGTTCCACAACCTCGCAGTGCACCCGCTGCAGCAGCGGGCTCAGCCGAATCGTCGTGGTTGGGCCTTGGCTGGCGGGGTGTTAGAATATTCCTGTTGGTTGGGGTCGAGCTTGCGTGCGAAGCCAAACCTTTTGGTAGGGTCGGTCGGCTTGCATGTTAAACCTTTGGGTGGTCCACATCCATTTTGAGTCAAGGGAATGCAAAAGGTGATGATTAATTTCGCAGGCAAGTGGAGGTTAGTAAGGGACAGGCCCCTTGCACAAATGGGGTCGGACTTCCGCCATTGGGTGGTTCTGTCTGGCATGTACTCCTTCAGATCGGCTGGGTGGTTATTGACTTTGGGCTTTTGAGGCGCTACATTTTCAGAAGGGCAGGGGTTGGGCAAGATTGGTAAAACAAGACCGAGCGCAGCAAAGAGACAATCATGACAATCATGAAAGGCGCTTGACGACAGAATTATTTCCAACATGGTGTTTCAATCATATCATATGACTCGCTTTGTTTATTTGTGCATCTCTTCTCTTCTTTTTTCAATCAGCATGACCAGATGCGTGATCTCATTTTCTCTTCCCCTGTGTTTTCTTGGGCGCCGTCTTCCGCTTGCCCAACTTAGCAGGGCCTTCGCAGGCATCCCCTGCTGCTGATGGACGACATGACCCCAGCGGGCTTCTGGCTGCCGGGCTTCCAGGGCTGGCCTTCCCGGCGCGCGTTTCGAGCGTTTGGATCGCTGGGCGGCTGGCCATCGGCCTTCACCCCGAGGGTCGCATGTGTCTCAACAGACCAAGGGTTGGTCTGGCATGTACATCTCTGCCTTCAAGCCGAAATCCGGGAGTTGAATATCTGTTCCATCATCTGAGTATCAAAATAAGCACAAAAGTGGTGGTTGGTCTCTGTTTGATTTCCCTTGAGTACATCCAAAAAGTCCCCTAATCTGAGACAGACCCGTATCTTCATCATTGCCCTTTACTTGACTGTCTTGGAAGATGCTGGTAGGCACTATTCACATCCTACTGGGGTTGAACGTTGGCCAAGGTCAGGTACCCCTTCATTGGTGTTTTGGATTGGTGATTTGGAGATTTGCCTGAAGCCAAACGGGGAAGGTACCTTCAAGGTCCGAACGACCAAAGCAAATTGCACTATCTCCGAAGTTTCTCAATTTTCCCGGTGATTTGGGAGCATGTTTGTAATCCAGGATTTGCGCCGTCTCAGTGTTGACCCCTGATCAAACATATTGCCCTCAGACGCTAGTTAGAAAAGAAGCCTCATTTTGGTGTGGATGGTTTCCTGTTTTCAAGCGTCGGAAAGCTCACTGATCTTACAATGCGTAATCAGGGGTCGACACGAACACCTCGGCCGAGGTTTGACACCCACCCTTTTGGCCTTCTTGAGGCTCCAATCATGCTCAATTGCCACTCTTCCCATGGTCCAACAAGGCACAGACCACGTGTAAAGGGAATCCACCCTACTCCGGTCGGGAGAGCCGCGAGAGCCCGGCCAACGAACCCCCCTTCCGGCGCTTTGGCTCGAACGACGCGAAGCAACTCGAGCGGGTTTTTGCACCACGCCTAAGGGAAAAAATGCCATGGGTGGCGAAATGATGACTTTCACCCAGATGGATAGATGGATGCCACTTGCAAAAGGAGCAGCCCAGGAAAAGTGAGTTGCTGTGAGTTGCTTTCCAGCCTGCCAAGCGTTGTTCCAAGAGAGGACTGAACCCAAATGCCTGTGGGATGTTGTCAATTCGGATGTTACGGCAGGGCAGCCGGAAGGGAAAGCCATTGTGTATCCATAAGTCTTGGACTCCCAGCCAACATGTCTGACAGCTTGCCAACTCGGGGGATTCGGATCATGATTCGCTCACTCCTATGGCCGCTGTTTGCATGCGCGGGCACCTCAGCGCCTGATCGCAAGTTTCGTGGCCGGGCGTGTCTTTGTCGAGGGGCACCCTGTTCTCTTAGCAAGGGAAGCCAAATGGCCTGGAAGCAGACACCCGCAGTGAAGGCCTGCCAGTGCACAAGCAACATGTGTGTTTCACCGCTTGGTTTGCTTGCTTCTTGGTTCTGAGAGATAGAGAAAAAACGCTGGCACTCGTCACTGCCCAAAGGTGTCACCAAGACCAAGTTGTCACCATGGATGCCTGTAGCCTGGTGTCTGCCAGACATGAACAGGCCACTAAACGAAGCATATCTTTTTGGTCCCTTAAGACCCGCGCCCACTCCAGAGCTGCTCAGATGGAAACCACCAATTTCGGAGGTTCCACCTACTGCAACTGATTAATAGGGGGAGGGTGTCCCCTTTCAGTAAGAATTCCTCACTTTTGGAGGGAGCACCCCTACTAAAAGCTACGGGTTGATTGATCCGGGGTCAACATTATTTTGAGAGGCGCCCGCACTGCCGGCACGCCCCGCCATTTCCGAGGCCGCCATCGACCCTGCTTCGGTGCCTTCCTTGCAACTGCTGGGAGATGGCGGCCGAATGCCGCGCCCGGCGTGTGTTGCGCCTGCGGACAAGGCGTTGTTTGTTTTTTTGTTGAGGGTATTCTTTTCGGGGTTGTTGTAAAGGGAAACCAAAGGGTCCCCCTTCCCCCCCTTTCCCCCCCAATTTTTGCTCCCCCCGCCATTTTGCAGACACACCCATTGAATGGGGACACTTTGCGGGGAGCCCTCCTTAGGTCCTTAAAGGGCGAACCAATCAAAGGGGCTGCAGATAGGGGCGAAAGGGGCTTTGTATTTGGCAGCCTCCTCCTTAACTGGGGTCTCCTGAAAAAATGTAGTACATTTCCAGGTTGGCTAAATATTGACCAGATTCCAAACACTTTTTCCGGATATACCCCAAAATTCAGCCAGGGGGCTTTCAGACAGTTTTCTCTTTTTGTGTTTTCTTTTCCGGTGACAAGGCTCCCGAGCCTCAAAAGACACGAGGCCACTTGTCGGCAAAGCGCGCCATCAGCCTCGCGCCAGGCCCATGTCCGGAGTGGGGCTTTGCTGCAGAGCCTCCGCCCGCCTTGCGCCCGGATGGAGTCATGCAGCTGCCCCCCACCCCCCCCCTCCCCCCCGGCCCCCAAAACGGGCCGTTGTGGCTTTGACCGGAAAAGCCAAGCCCAAAAAGGATTCCCCCAGGAAAGATATACCCAAATGGAGTCATGAAGGGGGTTGTCGCAAGATCCTATTTGGTGGCCGAGAGATGGGGTTGGTTTGAATAGTGCGAAAGCTGCAGAGCAACCGCAAGTGCCGTCCTTTCGGGGAATCTCCTTTGGGGGACCCCTTCCATAATTTTGCAGGGGAGCAACCCTTTCTTAGGAATACGAACATACTTGGTTCAGCAAATTCCTCCGCCCCCCCCCCCCCCCCCACGGGATTCCGGTCAGACCCGAAGACCCGAGCCGAGTTCCGCCGCGCCGGAAGCTCTAAAGCCGAGGAGGAGATGCGGGGCGGCAGGGCGTGCTCGACTTCCTGCTGCAGGGCTCGCGGCCAAGAAACCTGTGCAGATTCGCCTCGTTTTTTTTTCTTCTTTGCTTGCACCCTCCTTTTCGGGAACAAGGGAACACCACCATATGATGCGTCGCGATGCCACGAAACGGGGCCGCCCAAAAGGCTTGGAAATCGATGCGCTCAGTTTCCCGTGGCTTGGCTTGGAGTTCCTGAATCGGTGGCTTCCCGCAGGGCGGCAAATAAACCGGCTACCTGACACGTGTCATATGGGGACGCCCAAAGCAGTGGCTTCCCTCTGTTTAAACCACGCTGGAAAGGGTGAGCCTCACAAACATGCATATGCCAATGCTAAAGTTGAGCTTGGACTGGACAGGTTCCCGAGCGTATTTGGATTTCAATTGGAACCCGGTGCTACTTGGTCTTGGGCGAAGTTCGACCGCCTTTGTTTCTCGATCAGCACGATCTCCCGTTTGTTCATCAGGTTGACGCAGGACCCATGCTAGACCCGAAACAACCTGCGTCTGGGCCGGCAAACCAGCACATCTCACGTCGCATGCCCGTGTTTTTGTCTCAGGTGGCCGGCATCTGGACACCGCGCAGATCTACGGAAACCACAAGGCGCAACTCGTGCCGAGACTCGTGGGCCACTGGTGGACTAGAGCCAGTGGGTCTGCTGCCCACGGCTGGGGGGCGCGGGGGAGGGGATGCCAGAACCCCGAAACCGAAATGGGTTGTTTCTTTCTGGTTCTTCTCAAACCGAAGGCCCGAAGGGGTCCACCCTTTCGAGAATTCCCTGGGCAACATTGGATATGTGGGGGACAGTCCTCCCTTTTTGTGTTTGAATCGACTCGTGACTAAGCTTCGAGGGTGGGGCATTTGCCACAAGTTGGGAAACAAGCTTGGGCATAGCTCATGCAGGAATCCGACACACTACCCTGAATTGGATATGTCAAAGCAGCTACAGTTGGGTGAAAGTAGATGGCACACGTTCATTTTTGGTTGTGTATTCCTCAGTCTGGTGTAGTAAAACCAGGGCATTCCCAGCCACGCTTGGCCCCGATCCCGTGCAAGGTTCCGCTTCCCCTGGTTCGGCTTCTTTTCAGGGCCTTTGAAGATGCACCCGCGGAAGCCTTGGTTCCCTTCCTTTCACACGGAAGGGCAAGCCTTGGTTCCGATTGGACCAAATGCTGGTTGCAGGAAAGGTTGCCTGTTCGCTCGTTGCTCTTTGCTTCGACCCTTAACCCTCAACTGTTCAGACCACGACAATATCCAAGTATGAACGAACTGCGCAGGACATCCAAATGTCGCACAAACAACAGGTCAAGACCATCCAATTTTTCCATGTGCTCGTTTCCCTCATTGAGCAGGGGTCCCTGTATATGCATATGCATCATATATATATATATATATACACATAGAGACATGGACATGCATTATTTTAGTCTGACAAATCACCTTTTGGGCCCCTGAAAGGTGCGTTTCCTTTGGCAGGGGTGATGTTACCCCGCGGGACCCCCGCCGTGGTTTTCGGCCTGCCAGGAGGTGGGCGAGGGAGCGCGGCAGGCCATGGACCAGGGAGCGCGGGCCTTGAGCTTCCGAAGCCGTCGGGCCTTGGCTCGAGATCCTTGGGCTTTCTTGGGGAAGGGGAGAGCGTGTCTCTGGGTTTGTGGCATCCCCCCCCCCCCTCCCCCCCTGAAATGGGTGATTTCCTTTTAGGCTTGAAAACCAACCCACCAAACCCGTGGGTCTGTGACTAATCCCCCAAAATGGGTGAGTTCCTTTTGGCCTCCCTTTAAAACCAACCCACCAAACCCGTGGGTCTGTGATTGAAAAAGGGGCCCTGTTTTTTCAGGTTGGCAAGGGGAATCAAAAGGACAACCAGTTGTTCGATCCGCTTATTTTGGCACACACCCATCTACCTGGAATCTCCACCCTTTCAGCATGTGGTCACTGCCCCAGAGTCATGGATCTGTTTCAGGGGGCATAAAGCAAGAAAACAGGGCTGCATTTTGAACAACCATGTTTCTCCTTGCTCCCAGCGGTTTGGTCTGCACAACTCAGACGAAGCCCACCGATTCGGGGGGAAAAAACATGGAGCGGCCCAGGTGCCGAGGGAGGAGATCTTCCTGACGACCAAGATCTGGCCGGAGGACTTCGGCTGGGACCAGGCCCGCAGCTTGGAGCCGAGCCCCGCCCAGCGCCAGGGTCGACCCCGGATGAACGCTGGTGGATTTGTTGGGTGATTTGTTGCAAAACGGCGTCTCTCGGAAAAAAAGAGACACCCCCTCTACAAATGTGAGGTATTCATGGTGATAAAGGAAGCCATCATGAAGGTTTTGACGAGCGTATTTGAGCTGGAAAGAAGACATCGATCCGAGGCGTCCATTTAGGAATGAATCTTGAGCCCGTTTTTTTTGCACCCGCCAGGTTGAGAGGTCCTTCAGGTTTCCTGCAGGGGTTGGGCCTCCTCAAACATGGCGGGAGGCATAAATCCCAATTTTAAGTGATATCCCCCCAAGGGACCAATTAAAAAACTCATACCCACCTCAAGTTTCCTTTTGGCCTTGCCTTGTAAAGTCGGGGAGCCCAGCATGGATCACTCCGGCAGTCCCCGAGGCTTGTTCCAGAGTTCGTTTTCTATGGAGCACGCCCCAAATTTGTCAGTTGCTTCATGAAAGTCAGGCACAGAGGGGTGGGATTTTCAAAGAAATGGGAGGGTCCCTTTGTCACATTGATCAACCCAACAAGGAGAGGGTGACGAGGTAAACCTTGGTTCATTCATAAAGCGCGCTTGATGCTCCACTTGATCGAGACAAAAAAGGGCGGTTTTTCCGGGCGCAACTCAGCAGGTTGCACCATTTTCTTGCCTAACAGTCTAAGAGGGGAGCCTCCGCGATAGCCAGGGTTGGGCCAAAATTGTTGCAACCACACCCACCCCAAGGAATGCAGAAGCGCGGTTTTTCAACAATGTAGGTTGGGCCATGTTTAAACATTGGGTTGATCCAATCCTGGAGTCTAACACGGCCTTCTTGTTTCAGGGATGTTCAGGTAAGGGTTTTTTGGGCTTCGGAATTTACGAAGCAGGATTATGAAGCCGCACGCGAAGTTGGGCTTGGCATTGGAGACAAACCAATCCGTTTGTATTTGTTGTGCTTGCCGCGATCCAGGGGCCGTGGGACAGTTATGGGCAGCTTTTACCGTTTGGGAAACCGATTCAGATGGGTTCGACTTGGTTCTATTCATTTTTTCCGGTGCCAGCTTTTTTTTTCAAACGGGCGCGCCAATGATACGTATTCCCGTCGCATCTCCCTTTACTAAAATGATGATGGTAAACAAACAAACCCTAAGTGTGGGACCAAGGCGCCATCTGCGTGGAGTCTCCATGACCCTTTTCATGGTTCATGGTTGACATTGTACTGAGTTTGGTTGGCAACCCTGAAAACTGGGGGTTGTAGGAAACCTAAAGTTGAAGAAGTCCAGAGGCTTCAGGCAGGGGGCTTTTCAAGGGTTAGACCAAAAGCCAGGGTGGAAGTCATAAATCGTAAGTTTTGGGCATCTGAAAGATCAGCAACAGTTTGGACCAAAGAGACCCCAACGGGCCAAACCAAGAAATTGCCTAGTGGGAAACATCACGACGCTCCAAGCACTAAACCAAGAGACCGTCGAGCGAAGACAGGGTTTCTGCGAGCCTTCAAAAGATGATCAAACCGCAAGGGCAGAGCACTTTAGTCTCCTTCCGGGGTTTCTTTTGCTGGGCACCAATTTTCGCTCCTCCGGGTGTCTTTGGAGCAAGCGGGCCCAACAGTTGCAACCCCAAAGCAAGCCTGTGGCTTCCTTTGGTTTTCCTTGGGGCCGCTTCTTGCGCTTGGATTGTGGCGCGAGGCTGCAGCCTGGGTGCCGCGCATGCTCGCGGAGCTGCAGGTAACGTGCTCCGAAATCCATTTCGCTTTGGTTCGGGGTAAGAACTGGGCTGGTTGGCCGAACATGTATTTTTGATTGGTTGGTTGGTTGGTTGGTTGGTTGGCTGGCTGGCTGGCTGGCTGGCTGGCTGGCTGGTGGGTTGCTTGGCTGCTTGGTTGCTTGGTTGCTTGGTTGCTTGGTTGGTTGGTTGGTTGGTTGCTTGCTTGGTTGCTTGGTTGCTTGGTTGGTTGGTCGGTCGGTTGGTCGGTTGGTCGGTTGGTTGGGTGGGTGGGTGGTTGGGTGGGTGGGTTGGTGGTTGGGTTGGGTTGGGTTGGGTTGGGTTGGGTTGGGTTGGGTTGGGCTGGGCTGGCCTGGGTTGGGTTGGGTTGGGTTGGGTTGGTGTGTATTGTTTAAGGGAACCCTCAAAAGGGTTGTTTAAAGAGAAACAAGCCCTAGGCCATATTTCACCCATGTGTGCCATGTTCAACATTCCTTTTGGGTTGGTCACCTGGTCAGGTCCTGACCGGGGTTTTAGACAACCAAGATTGAACATGTGTGCTTTGGCAGGTATGTGGACTTGGTCCTGCTGCATATGGCCCAGGCTGACGGCAAGGCCAGGCAAGTCCCCGACCCCTGCCTCGCCTTGGCACACTCAACTGGGGGACACGAACTGGCTCGCTTCCTTGAGCGGCAAACCTTGTTTGACATTGAAATGAGCAATTCCGTTTCGATGTCATATTGTGGATGGACAGAATCCTGCACCAGCGGATAGGTGGTTTGTCCTATTGTTCCAGAGTTTAAGTGGATTTTGTTCGTCCACAGTAGTACGAAGTTAATGGGTGGCCCCAAACCCTCAGCGTAGCCCCTGTCAGATATAGGACATGATGGATCTGTCAGACAACCCTCAATTGCAAATGCTGCCGGGGCTGGGCCGAGCAGTTTGATGGGCTGCAGCGCGAAGTGGTTGCCAGGTGGCTGGAATGAGCTGGACTGGGCAATACGGGCTCAGGAGCCAGGGGCCGGGCTTGGCCGCAGGCTCTGCAAGCGAGGGGTAGAACCGGGACTGGGCGTGGCCAAGCGGGGTTGAGTCACAGATGAGTTGACGACCTGGCTGGCTGCGTGAAGTACAGTGGTCTGGCCGCCTTGTGTCTGGCTCGGGCGCGTGAAGCTGGCTGGCTTAGGCTGGACTGAATTGCGTTGGGGACTGAGTATGAGGACAGAGGACTGCGGCCAGGTGAAAGCCGCAGGAATTAGGGAGCTCTTCGAGGCAGCTAGAGCACGGGTTTTGACCGGAGATGTGGTGCTGCTCTTTGCAAGGCTTAAGGTCACCCATTTTAGGGGTTCCCGTTTTGAGCTAAAGAAGTGAAAGCGCAAGCCGTTGAATACTTTCCTTTGCTTTCACCCGCTTAAGGTATGAACGCATCAAACACAGAAGTATCAGATAGTACAACTGCCTCATGATACCGCGCGCTGTGTGTTGACCTGTTTCTAGGGGCACTCAAGTCAGAATTCCAGCTCTTGGCGGGTGACTTTGGTAAACTCATGCTGGTGGACATGGGTTGGCAGGTTTTGCGCGTGTTTTTTTTTCGCAGGGAACTTCAATGGGGAAAACACCCGACGCCCCACTTGCTTCTTCCCTTGCTTGGCGCCTCGGGGTTTTGGCGGGAACCCGCAGGAAACGCCGTCCAGGACTGCGGGCCGCGGCAGTGCCGGCAAGAGACCTGGCTTGCCCTGCAGCGGTTCCAGCGCAAGGCAGGGAGGCGTTCGCGCTGAAAGCGTAGCATGGGCATGGCCACTGGTGATGCACGTTTTGCGTCTTGTTTTCAGCCATGAACTGCCATAGCCACAAGGAGTTCTCACCATGGTGTTCGTGTGAAGTTCGCCGTGGTCAATTTGGAGAGACCAGGGGGACTCGCCAAATTTCCCACAAGTAATGTTGCTAGGTGCCGTGGAAGGGCTTTCAAAAGCTCGAACCTGAAGCCTCTCCCACAGGGACAGATCCGAGCGCTGGGGGTGAGCAACTTCGGGCCTCGGCAAATGCAGGCCAGGCGGGCTGGTCGTTCCCGAGTTTTGGTGAACGTACAGGCAGGCATTGCGGGTGTTTCCAAAAAAGCGGACGTTTTGGAGGCCGAACATTCGACGGGATGTGTTCGCCATTCTGGAAGCTGTACCTGGAGTCTCCATGACCCGCAACCCATGTCAGGGCAAGGGCCCCACTTTTAGGATAGTGAGCTTCACCCTCGCAAAAAATGTTCGTTGAAGTGGACTACGAGCTCTCAAGAATCCGCCAAGCAGCCACTTCACAGGGCCTGGTACAGCTCCACTCACCAAAGCCGCACAAGGTTTCATGGCCCCTTGTGAGGTCTGCAAAAAACATTATAGCATGGCAGATACGAACTGACACACCCGGGATGGCGGGGCGCTGGATTATTTGTCAATCAATGGTGTGGCTTTCTGGGAAGCCCTCCGACGCTGGACGTGAAATAGGTTTCGGGATGTACAATTTGGAGCCGCCGATGTGGGACACTTGGGCCGGGAAAACGCGATCTTTATGAATATGTATATCTATCTATATATATATAATTTATTTATATACCTGCATATAGAAAGTCCCTCGTATGGGTTAGGCTGGAGTTTGCTTGGCCGCTGTCAGTTCACTGCTTGTCTCATTGTTGGGATTGACATGATGGATCTATCGGACAACCCGCAATTGGTGGGTTGGATTGGTGGCTTGGGGATTTAAACCCTTGCCTGTTGAAATTCAACCGAACATGAACGCCCTTCAAGCCCGCCAATCCTCAAAACCAAGGGCGAGCTGAAGCTTGGGGCGCCTTTGTCTTGAGGGTTTGCCTCGACCAATTCCCTTGCCGGAAAGTCAGGGCCCCATTTCTGCAAGGGAGGGTTGGAATGACTTCTGTGGCAGGTAACCTCCCATTCAAAAAGGAAGATTTTGGAAGGCCCGACTGCCCGCTATCACGGTGGTCATTTTCCAGCGATTTTCACGGGGGATCATGTCAGGGTTTGACTCTTGGTCGGAAGTAGAGGGATCCCAGCGCGACCACATGACCCGCCCGAACTCGAACTCGAACTCAAACCCCCCCGGGAAAAGAACAACAAGAGCGCACGCCCGACGAACTCGAACTCGAACTCGGGCCCCCCCCGATGGAGAAAGAAAAGGAGGGGACGCGGAGAGCACTGGCGATCCCTCGCCTCGGTCGGCCTTGGAGGAGCTCTTTGACCTTGGGGGTGCGCCCGTGGCGGCCTGAGAAGGGCCGAGAGGACTGTGAACACCTGAAGGGGAACCAGCCGTTTTCATTTTGGCCAGAACCTCCGGAACTGCAGTGCCCATGTCTTTTTGTTTCCGGGGCCACAAAATCGGGGCGGTGCTTTCTTCATGTCCACAGGTGCACCGGGAGACCTCCAGTTTTCCTTCAGGTCGCCGTGAACCAGCTGGAGTACCACCCCTGGGTGCCCAGCATCCACAGAGACACCGTGGAGTGGTGTCACAGGACGACCGCGAACTCGGCCGTTCAGCCGAACGGAAGTGTGGAACTGGTTTGGAGCTTGGGAAGATCGGGTTGCCTCCTTGTTGAACATGTTTTGCCCTCTGTGGAAAACAAGGTCTGGTTTGATTCACTCTTTAAAGGGTTGGTGAGCGTTTTGCAGGGGAACCTCAGGAACAAGTCACCTATGTTGGCCTGTTTCAAGTGCCTCACACAAAGGCGCTTTTGGGGTGGTGCAGTGTGGAACCACACCCAAGTCCAGATCTCCAGACCTGGCAGCGAATTGGATCGAACTCAACCCAAATGAGAAACCCTGGTTTATTGGGATAGGTTCAAGCAAATCAATGAAGCAGTTGACCCCAAAAGCCAGGATCTAGATCCAGTGCCCTGGGCCGGGAACCGGGGGCCGAGGGAACTTGGCTCAGTTTCCAAAGAAGCATGCCATTTTGGTTATCCCGTCAAGCAAGCAGTCAACAAGCACGGTTCGGAATGAAATTGGTCTTAGTTGACAGGATTTGTCTGGCTCCCTACTTGCTTGAGACGACATTGACTGGCGAAATTGTGGGGTCAGCAAAGAACAGGATTCTGACCATGCCAGAGCATGCCCCAGCCCTCCCATGATGCTCTTTTTCATAGAGTTCTGAGGTGTGCAAAGAAAAGCCGCCTTTGACCTGCCTGCAGCCGCACAAAGCATGGCAATGGGAGATGGACTTTTGTTCCTGTGAATTCATTTTAGCACATCCCCTAAAGGGGTGCCCGCAAGAATCAACACCATATCCTCTATCAATGGCATTTGTGTCAGCAAAAACGGGCCAGTCAGCCAGAGCGCGATGTCTTATCCCTTCAGGAGAGGGGTGGCGGTCACTGCGTATGGCTCCATGGGTTGCGCACTCAGGCTCAGTGCTCACTTGACAGGCTCCCGGATTTGGGAGTCGACTGAGCGGCCATTTTTAGCGCAATTACAAGCACCCGTCCATGGCGGGAACTGTTGTGCTTAAGGGTATGCCGTATAAACATACCAAGGGCGAAGAAAACATACATATATATATATATATATTATGTATACACATAATTATGTATCATTGAGGGAAGGGTATTTCATGACATGCACCAGTGGCGCGGACAGTATTTTGGCGTGCAGAGGAGGACACTACACCCAATGGGTTGGTGTAAGAACCAAAACTGCCGCAGCTACTGTGCCCCCTGGCTGCTGGTTTCTCGTGATGGCAACAGGGAAATCAAAATGAAATGGTGGCGGGGGTTCCAAAAAAAATAAACGCGACACACGCATGTGCATCTGTGATGGGTGAGGGAATCGGAGTGGCAGCGGCTTGTTTTTCGCTTGGCAGCAGATCAACCAATGAAAATGGATTGGGCCACCGGACGGCACAAAGGGCAGAGAGCGCCACTGCTTGGGCCTTGGGCCCGAAGAAGTGGCACCGATCATGTTCAAATGGAGACCTTTTAGCCTGGTTTGCTTCGGGATTGATTGTAGGGTGAAATTTCTCTACCATGACATGGGAGTTTGTACACTGCTCGACGCATCACCTCCCACCCAAGAGCGTTTCGCAGAGCATCGACCGACAGAAATCCCAGAAATTGACCTCGGTTTCGTCTCTCTTTGGGTATGTGTGGCCGCTCTTCCACGGTAAAACGATTGTGGGCGACGATTAAGGGAAAAAATATAAATAAGAAATAGAGATAGGATTATAAGCTTAGGCTTAGATGATGAAGACAAAGATAATCATCATTCCAGGATTTTATAGTGTTCCCAGAGAATCTCTCGAACAATATGTTGTCCTAGGATGGGAAAAAGAGATGATGGGATAAAGTCATTGGTTACAGACTCTATCCTTTCCCTTCACTTTCCATCACTATGACAGAGCATAATCAAACAGAAAGGCAAGGTTAAATGACCCCAGCAAAAGGGAACATGGCGGGCCTTTGTCTTGGGGTGCCCAAAACATCAATGGAGAATGAGAGGCTGCTAGAATCCATGGAGCTTGCTGATTGTGCAGAATGACGACTGAGGTAGCAACACCTACGCGCCGCAGATCACTGCGCAGGCCGGGAGTTCGTTATTCGCATGGATCTGCGACAAATACTTTACTTCGAACAATCCGGACCTAAGAAATTGCTGGCACCAGAAGGTCAATCAAGCATGGTGGCTGATGCGATCATTAGCGAAGAAACTCAGTCGAGCCAAAATGGAAGCAACGCAGCGGCTTTGCGTTGACCCCCAATCAAGAGCAGCCTTGGTTGTTACCATCATCACGCTTGTTGTTTGGTGGGGTTTTCCTTCATCTGGCGCACTTCGATTCTGCTAGGGACCAGTCAAGCTCTTGCAAGGGCACTAAATTTGCAACCCCAAGGTCCATATATAAGACCACAGCTCATATTCCGCCGTGGATCAGAACAGGAACTCCCTGTGCTACTTTGAAGCCAACATGACGCACTGCGTTTTGACAATCAACCAGCGCCGCCATCAGGGCCTTTAGCTGGGGGGGATTCCTCACTTCCAGCTCTCGCCGAAAGATTGGTTATTTCGAACAGGTTTCGCCTCAGCCTGGGGCCCTCCTCCATGGTTTTTCTGCTCAGGGAAATGGACGCGTGGGTTTGCATGGCTATTGGAAAAAAAAACTGAGTGAGGCGCGGTTGCAGAATCTACACGCAATAGACCCCGGTTCAGGAGGTACATGCAATTTACAGGGTATGTGGGTCACACTGGGGGCCTTTATGAGGGCTGTTTGGGCTCGGCAGTATCATTGGCCAGCGGCGGGACCAACCACAGCGAACACAACCTTGGCGGCTGGTTTTGGGCGTGGCCTTTTTTGCCCTCTCGGACACAAAATAAAGCAGCATTTTGCGAGGGTCAGCTTTGCTAACCCATCAAAGGGTAGTCTAAACTTGGCAGGTCTGAGAGGAACTGTTGGCCAACACCCACCAGCAATATTCATTTGGTAGCCGATCTGTTCTGCAGCACGTGTTTTCTCCGTCCCGACTGAACATGGAATTGCCTGACCGGAAACGGCTAGCAAATTCTTTCCCTTTCAGTTGGCTCCCAAACCAGAAGTCCATGGTCCATATGGGACATGGGGAGCTCACACATTTTGGGAATCGCTCGTTTCTCTCAGTTGACCCGCCCAGGGCGCCCTGCAGCAGATAGGAGAGCCTCGGACGTGGGAAGTGAGGTCGGCGAACGGACTAGGCCCCGAAAAGGCTGGCTCGAATTGGTTTGCGGATGAGGATGTGAACCCCTGGTGGTTGAAGGAAAGCCTGCCACCTCCATCCCCAGCTGAGAAGCTGAAGGACCCCTTTTGGAGGAATATCTGTTTTGGACTTTTGAACCCCCCATGCCATTGTGTGTTTGAGCGCCCAAACTTGGCCTCTGTCTTGCATTGCGGGTCTGTCAAAGCTGCTGGGAACCAATCCGGAATACCTGAGTTCTGCTTACACACTTCGACCAAGCCAGTCACGTGCGACCAATTCTTCATTTCCGCTTTGGTTTTTTGAAGATGAGTGGCAGACTGGCCTCTGTTTCCCATGGGGCATGGTTTTCCAGCGAAAAAGAGATGCTGGTGAACAGCTACTTTCTACGGTGGGATGGCTCACACCAGGTCGGCCATCCAAATCTCACGCTCGATCCGGGATTTCTTGTGGTGGGACCACCTAAGTGACAAAAGTGCATTTGCCTTACGCACTCTGAGTTCTGCCCCTAGACATTCCAAACCCTAAAAGTTCCAATTTTCACCATAGGGAACCAGGTATTTCGACCTCTAGGTTTTTCATGCCGGATACCCCGTTGCCCACCATGATGGAACAGTGGAGCGGACATGGGATCTCGAGGAATGGCATGGGAAGAGTGCGGGGCAGATCTTGCTGCGCTGGGCGATTCAGTCTGGGACCTGGGCCTGGCGGTTTTATGGGGTGTCGATCTCTTAGTTTTTGGGCAGGGATCCAGCTACAGTTCCCTTTTTGAGCCGGTTGAAACATGTAGCAGGTCTAATTTTTGTTTTTTTGTTTAAGCAGCACTTTTTGGTTGCCAATTGAATCCGGTTTCCTCTTGGCGGGCCGATATTCTTGGGGCCCGTATGGCTGGATGGGCCAGGGGCAGGGGCAGGGCTGATTCAGATATATGAGGCTGGTCTATGGTCCCATATCGCTCAAAAGCCTTGAGCTCTTACTAATTGTCCCATGTCCTTTTAGGGGAAGTGCGCATTTTGACCGTGGCTCGTATGGCTTTTGAAAGTACTGTCTATGCGTTTCACCAATAGCGGATCCTGAAGCCACACTTTGTGCAAAGCTGTGAGAGCAGCTCTGAGAGCAGGGATTCGTTCTATTTCCTTGGCTTTGACCGGCTGGTCTACGCTCTGTATTTAGTTTATTCCTTCTTTAACTTTTTTCATTTATAATGAAAAAACTGCAAAGAGCATGTATGCCATGGCAAAAGGAGCGCTTACCTGGGGTTAGCGCTTTTTTTTGTTAGGGAGTGCTAAGGACTTTAGATTTCGGTCTTGCCTTCAAAGCCCACTTGGCTGTGGGTCAAAACAAATGGTACCATTTTGGGGTAGGTGCACCACCCATTTTTAGTCTATTTTAGTGGGGGATTGGGATGTTTAGTGGGGGGTAACTGGGATTTTGACCCATGGCCACGTTGGGTTTTGGCTCCAAGGCACAACGTCAGCGTGATCCCGGGCACTTCCAACCCCAAGCACCAAGCGGAGTCTCGAGCTGCGCGTGGCGCGGGTCCCCTTCCTTGGGGTTCCTTCAGGATTCATCCGGGGTCGACATCTGCCCAGTTTGGATGCCAGGCAACCCCCCCAATTTTTTTTGCCCAGAAACGGATTCGGCCAATGCCCTGGCGCATGTTGGGGTGTTTGACTAAGGATATATGAGCAACTGACTAAGTTATGGCTGGTCTGTTGTTGGTTTGGGGAGGGCATTTGGCAGCTGTTCACTGTTCCAGTCTTTCAACTCCCAACAGCCTGACCGTCTATGACCACCTTTCTCCATACTGAGCTTTATGTCAGAAAACATGCAGTGAGCTAGAGAATCTGGATGGACTCGTTTCTCTGTTGGGAAAGGAGCCAAATTCGCCAAAGCCACAAGCATGCAGATTCTATGCTTGATTCGCCCCCCCCCCCCCCCCAAAAAAAAAAAAAAGAGAAAGAAAAAGGGGAAAAAAAGAAGAAGGCAGGTAAGGTAAGGAGCCCGTTATTTACCAAGGTGCTGTATCCATTTCTGGGATCTCGTTTGACATGATTTTACACTCTAGAGTTCACATGTGCGTTTTCGTTGGAGGCATTTCTTGAAGACTTGGGAGGATCCGCAGCACAAGTGTTGGGTCGGATCGCGCTGAGGAGAATCTGGAGATCTTCGACTTTGAGCTAGGTAGCCCGAGGCTTAAGCTTTACTGCCACACAAATGACATGGAACACAAAGAGGGGGGGTGCAAAAGGAGAGTCCTCTGATGGCGTTTCAAGTTCCGCGATAGTTTGTGTACATTCTCACACGCAAAGTAAAGGGACCCCCCCCCAGTTTGCTTTGCGCGTCTTTGGGTATCCGCGCAGGAGGTTCCTGTAGCTTTCGGGTTGATCGGATGGCCTGATTCCTGCATCCAGCGCAGGCTACAGTTAACCTGACTCAAGGGACCCTTCTGCGTACATGTTCACTCCGTTACGTGGGCACAAATATACGGAGGGGCTGGCGCCAGTTTTTGTTCTCAGTTGGGGAGCATACTATATATTATCGGTCGCTGCCGTTCTTTAGCTTTGATAGGCTGAAGGAAAACGCCCGTGAATAAGCCCCTACACCCCCTTTCTTGGCGAACTCTGCTTGAAGTACGGCTTATTTATCCCAGTAGATACATTCTGTTCTGTAAAAAAGGGTACCCCAAGCAGATCAAAACTAAATGGACAGTAGGGAAGCGGGCGTGCGGGTTGCTGCCAGACACTTTCTTTTTTCTCAGCGGGTGATCATGGGCTTCTTTGTCCGGACGTTCTGTCCCTGGACCATGTCCAGGTATGGTGCTTGGAGGTATGATTCTAGACCACCGATGTAGCCTCGTATCCATAGGTGTTGACTTTGGTTGTCTTGTTAGAAAAAAAAAAGATGGCCCTGGTTTGCCTGGTGGTTTAATCATCTACCGGGCCATCTATTTCCCCTCAAAGGGCACCTTTGCTTGTATCACTGTACTTTCTATATGGTGCATGACCTCTATGCCTCCAGAGCTTCCAAGTCCGATGACTCTGAATTGATTAGGCCAAGAGATGGCGTTCTTGGACAACGTCGCGGAGAGTGACCGCATGCTCTATTTCGGCCACACCCCAGATCAGTTCGAATGAAAAAGCTGCGTGTCTGCCAGGGTTTTGGCGTATCCGGAAAAAGCTATGGGTCCAATCAATGGCTGGTTGTTGGTTGGTGGATCCGGACAAAAAGCGAGAAAGTGGGTCAGGATCTTTGGGAAATAGGATTCAGCGAAGCTTTGAAAATTGAAAGTCACAGATGGCTAGGAAGTTCAATTAGGAACCACCTCAAACATGCTGGACTTAAATCCCCGTATGAATGATATCCACCGCAGGGCTGCATATTTCAATTTGAACCCAGATCAGTTTCAGTTGTGAATCAGACCCCTGTGGTGGACAAACCAACCACACACACACACACATTCACCTGCCCTATTGGGAAAATCTGTTCATCCACGGGGGGGAACGTGCGGCAAAAGGAGCAGACAACTCTTCAACTGAACAAATGATACTGGACTAGTTATCCGAGTCAGAAACTGGCATCCTTGCCCTCAGCCACTTGAAGGGCTCAGGTTGTGGCAAAACCTGCCAGAAGTCTGGCGATGGGAAAGCTAGCATTTGGGGGCTGATGTTGAGACGGCACAGTTTGGTTGGACATAGACTGACCCCGGATGGGGCCCGTTGCGCGCCAGGCACCGGGACAACATGGCGGCCAATTGTCACCGTGGCTGGCGCTTGCAGAAAATTGAAGGGATTGCGGGGCAGCAGACGCTTGGACATCGGACTTGGCTTGGCGTTTCTCAGTCGGGACTCGCTTTTTCCTGGATGGACCCCACCAAAACATGAGTGTTTCTCAACATGCCAGCCCTTTGGGTTGGCATGAGGGAACGTAGGGAACCAGAAGGAAAGCAACCCTGTTGGGGGACCCAACCCCCACATTCCACATGCACACAGGGTAGCCATTGGGTTTGAATTCAATGGTCGGAACACACTGAATGGCCGTGGGTCAATGGATTTTGGGGTAGGTGCACCGCCCATTTTAGTCAGTTTGAGTGGGGATTGGGATGTTCACTGGGGGTACGGGGTTTTGACCCATAGCCAAATAGGTAAATTTCAGCGACAATGTCCACCAAAGGGTTTCCCAATTGAAGCTCGTGCACTTCTGCCTGGCACTTAGGTTCAAAGGCACTGGATCGCCTGTTGAAAATCAAGGGCCTCCCAGTCGCCATTCTTTCCGGGGCTTGTTTGTCTCCAGATTGCCAAAAAGTGGGCAGGGGTGTGTTGGTCCACGGGTCGGTGTCTGGAAACGATGATTGAGCTGAATGGCGAATTAGAAATCAACTCTTGCCCACTGTTCACATTCTTCCAAGCCTTTCTGTTTTTGAGTCCTGTTCCCCACACAACATGGACACCCCCAGACAGAACGGCGTCTCCGCGTTTAGAGGAAAACCTTTCGGGTCGCTGACGTTTCCTTCAGGACGGACCTCACCTTCTTCAACAACTCGGTGCACGCCTCGGGGTTCGGGTGGCACCTGAAGCCGCCCCACGCCCCACCCACGCTGAACAACTTCCTGGCGCGGGGTCTGCGGAGTCTTTTTGGGCGCGCGGGGCGGCGCGCGGGGTCCAGAGCCTTTTGGGGTCTCCTCCAAAACGAGTTTTTCTTTTGGGGAGAGCAATCAGCACCTGCGATTTTGGGTCCGATGGCCAAGTCTGGGCGGATTTTTTGAGGGGGGGTGCCCCTTTAACAGCAACTGCCACGTTTTGTTCGGACCCAGTCTGGAATGCTTGGCGAGATATGTGTTGTTAATCAGGAGTCAGCATGACCTTCCACCCAGTGCCTCTGTGCCTGTCTTTGGCTTTGGGTTCTGCCCAGATCCTTTGGTCAGGGTTGAGCATGTTGAAATAGCCATCCACTGGGCACCCTCAAAAAGACACTAAACGCAGAATCCGCTTTTTGAACATGTCCAGGCATTCAAAGAGTGTAGGATCCCTCGTAGAGTTATGCCAAACTGGTCCCAATGAAGCGTAGTTACAGGACCACCTTGTCTTAGGTTTGAAGCCCCACACAGAATCAGTTGGAGCACTTTTAGCTGAACCCGAAAAAGGATTTGGTGCCCTTTGATTAGTTGGAACCCCCGAGCCCCATATTTGGGTTGGAAACACCCAAGCCACCCTGTGTAGATCATGTTGAAACAGTGCATAGGTGTTGTTTTCTCGTTTTGGTCAGTTTGTTTTCACCGGTTTCAGTTTGGTTCCAGCCATTTACCAGCGCATCCACCTATTTGTCCAAAAGCAAGCGGTCCATACCACCCTGATCACAATTGGTTGGGCGGCAATCTCGTTTTGGAAGCTCACGTTGAAACCAAAAGGATTGTTAAGGAGAAGCCAAAAGGAAGCTAGCCAACGTTGGGGGAAAGGGAGGCCCCATCTTCGTGTCCGATGGAAGGGTCAACCTTTCTGGTCAACCTGTCCTTTCTGGTGGCTTCGTTCCTAAGTGGCTGTGGGTCAAAAGAAGGTACCCCAAATCCCTTGCCCTTGTACATTGAGCCAAAAGCAAAAACCTGGGGTCCCCTGCAGATGGTTCAATTTTGACCCACACCCGAGTCTCCTTTTTTGGTTTAAGAGTTCCGTGCGCGAGGCGTTCACGGCATTCCGGTGCAGCACCGGGATGTTCTACTACGGCACCGGGAACATCTTCCACGACGACCACCGCTTCGTGGAGTGCGGCACCGGGCACTTCATGCGCCAGGGCCCAGATTTGTTCCTTTTTTTGTTTTGTTTCGTTTGCTTGCTTTCAAAGTAGCCTTCTTTTTGGCGATTTGTTTCTAATGGAAGAGCGCAGAAGTGCCATTTATAAATTAACAATATGAGCCAAAATGGCCTGCCATTTTGGCTCAAGATTGTGATTCTTGCCTAAAAGAGAAACACTTTCCCTCTCACTACCCCTCCTTTGCTGTGACCATGTCGCGCTCGGAAGCCAGTGTGGACTCCTTCGAGCTGGTGGACACCGTGGTGACGGGAGAGGAGGCAATGGCAGCGCAGGTGGAGTCTGAGCGCTTGCGCATTCAGCCCGCCTGGCCTTGAAGCTCTCCAACTCGGACATGGAGTCGCTGCCGTCGGAACTCCAGGACTGCATTGCGAAGCTGTCTCTGCGGGTGCCAAGTGTAACGGGGTGGAGGTCGCCTCAAGCAAGGAGATCTCATCGGCGATGGAGGTGAGTACCCTCGAAGCCTGAAGGTTCATCCCGATAAGCAGTTTCTCAGCGGCCGGGCCAAGCCACTTTGAGTAAAGCAGATGGCCAGAAAACAGCCAAATGGCCGAGAACCAGAGTCCAAAGTCCAAAGTCCCCCAGAGCCAGAGCCGGGCCAGAGAGCCGAACCATAAGCAGAGGCAGGCAGGCGAGGCAGTGCTCCCGGACAGCATCAAGACCCACAGGTCGGGCCTGGGCTCCCAACCGGGCCCAGGCTCCAAGAAGGCCGCTGTGTCAAGGGGAGCGCCTCGGACCAGACCCAAGCGTCCGTCCGTTTCAAGCATGACAGCCACTTCCCCCCACAATGGGAGACGTATCCGCCTCACCATCTCAGGATTTGGGACGACGCGGAGTACAATACCGGGAGCGCACATGCACGGAGGATGAGCTTTTCGGGGCCTTCATGGATACCCCTATGACTCAGGCCACGGTGGTGAGGATCTTGGAGGCTCACATCCCCATGAAGGTGAATCCACTGCGGCCCGCTGGATCCAATCACAAGATGCCATGTCGTGCTAGAAGCTTGCCGAGGGGGTGGCGAAAGGGACCGACGCCGGATGCGCGCATCCCCAGCACTTGTTGGCCTGCCTAGGCCAGCCTGCCATGCACTTCGCGCACATGAGTTCGTCCGCCAAGCCATGCTCGTGGGGAATGCAATCTTGGCACCCCCGCAATGCTGAGAAAAGGAAAAGCGTAGGGGGCATTTTCGCATTTGGTAATTTGCTTGGATCTCTGGAATTTAACATTTTGGTTGAAGCCACTCGGATTTTCCATTGGACCCACAAAAAGTTGCAGTTGTACAGAGGGGTCAACGGCAACCAAGCAGGGTACATTTTGGGAGTCGCACTGTGCTGACACATACTCGGTTTTACATTCAAGGGGAGCTCTCGTGAAAGATCGGGAGCCTGCTGCCCACCAACATCCCACCAGGTCTCTCTGGGAGAAGCAGTGTTCGAAGGCTAAGTTCAAAGCAAGTTCTCTGTTGATTCCAACCCTGCTTATGCGCTCCGCTTGCGACGGTAGCGTTGTGCTGCAAAAGGTGATCTGGGAAGATATCCAATGACCAGCTTGAGCCGGCTGACTGGGATGGGGCGCCCAACTTGGATTCTGTAGACGGCTGACGATGACATCAAGCGGCGCAAGCCCCCCAATGCCTTGCTTACGACTGGGATCCCATGGAGACGGGGTTTCCAAGATGCAGAAGCCAGCGCTGAAAAGCTTGGTCTTGGCGAGGTCTGCGTCGTAGCGCTGTGGAAGATGTCGACGTCTTCCACTTCTAGGCTGGTGATGATGCTGCGCGTGGGGAGGGCATGCTTGCGGTTTGTGAGACGCACCAAACAGAGTGGACCAAACGGCAAATCGGCGCAAACTGCTGGCAAAGGGGCCCGTGTCTGCTCCTGCGGCAAGGATTTTTCGGATATGAACGCCCGGCGGCGATTCCAAGAGGGCTTATTTTCGCAACCCGCCTTCCGGCTTCACCGTTGCGGCAAACCCCGCGGACGGACGGAAACTGCTTCACTCTGGGCGCCCGTTGGAGAGGAGGGCTGCGCAAGAAGGCCGCCGCAGCCTCACCGCTGGCGTGGAGGTAACCTCAAAATCTAAAACCTTCAAGACAAAAAGCGACGTCCATGAAACTTCCAGAATGTTTACAGAGATTACCGCACCCTTTGCTGAATCATCACTTCTTTGATCATCACCACCCATTGTTGAATCATCACTTCTTTGAACATCATGGGGGCAGCCCCCCCCAACCCCCCCTGCTGATTTGTAGAATGCTTACAGAGCTTAACGCACCCCTTGTTGAAGCATCACTTCCTGGAACATCATGGGGGGGGCTGCCGCCCCCCCCAAACCCCCCGCTGATTTTCAGAATGTATACAAGCCTTAACGCACCCTTTGCTGAATCATCACTTCCTCGATCATCACTCTCTTTCTTTCTTTCTTTCTTTCTTTCTTTCTTTCTTTTTTTCTTTCTTTCTTTCTTTCTTTCTTTCTTTCTTTCTTTCTTTCTCGCTCTCTCTCTCTCTCTCTGTTTTCTCCCTTTTTCTTCATGTTTATATCTCTGTATATTTTTCTTCACTGCTTGCGCAAATGCTGCGCCTGCGTCAAACTCTGCACCGTACCTTGCGAAAGTGCTGCGCCTGCCGCGAAATTGGTACCTCTTGCGAAAGTGCTGCGCCTGCCGCGAAATCTGGACCGCACCTTGCGAAAGTCCTGCACCTGCTGCGAATCTGTACCTGACCTTGATAAAGTGCTGCGCCTGCTGCGAAATCTGTACCTGACCTTCCGAAAGTATTGCGCCTGCCACGAAATCGGTACCTGACCTTGCGAAAGTGCTGCGCCTGCCGCAAAATCTGTCCCGCACTTTGCGAAAGTGCTGCTCCTGCCGCGCAATCTGTACCTGACGTGCGAAAGCATTGCGCCTACCTTGCGAAAGTGCCGCGCCTGCCACGAAATCTGTACCTGACCTTGCGAAAGTGCTTCGCCTGCCACGAAATGAATAAGTTTTTGTTGATCCCTAAAAAGTTTTTTTTATCCTCTGATTTTTCATTTTTAATAGTAAATCAATGAGAATAAGTTTTTTTGGATCCCTAATAATTTTTTGAACTTTAGAAATATGTTTTTTTTTTTAATGCCTAACAAGTTTTTGGATCCCTCACCCCTTGGGCAGGGCGACTTGCGCAGAGCAGTTTTCGTGGAGCAACTTGCGCAAAGCAACTTGCGCCGAGCAACTGGTGCAGAGCAACTTGCGCAGAGCAACTTGCACAGAGCCCCCTGCGCAAAAAGACGCTTGCGCAGAGCCTGCGCGAGTTTCTCTGTGCAAGTTGCCCTGCGCAAGCTGCCTGTGCAAGTTGCTCTGTGCAAGTTCTTCTGCGCAAGTTGCTCTGGGTAGAAAGGTTTGGCTGTAGGCCTGGGAGCTTGAGTAGAAAGCTTGCGTAGCACTTTGGCGTTCCAGTTTGGTTGGAGGTTTATAACTGCAATGGGTTGCAACTGGCAGATAGAACTTGCGCAGATCAACTTGCGCAAGAAAAATTGCACAGAGCAACCTGCAAAGGACAACCTGCGCAGAGAGACTCGCGCGCAGTGCGCGTGGTGTTCTGCGGTACGTTGCTTTTGCGCGTGAATGTGAAAAGCATCGTGAAACAATGCTTTTGTTTTTGGCATAATTATCCTCTAGTCTTCACAGTGGGTTGAAACGATTGTTATTTTCACGGGTTCAGTGGGAAACGAAGAAGGTGGCTTGAAGCCACCGTTTCCGAGGAACCATTTGTCCAACGGGCTTCACACGGCGCCCTTGTACCACAACCTCATCTTGGTGGGCAACATCGATCCCCAGGCAACCAATACGCGGAGCGGCATTGGCATCAGGCAGGCCCGAAGAAAGCATCGAGTGCTTCGAGCCCTACTTTCAATTGGAAGTGCTTGCAACCTCTCCAGCACCCACAAATTCGTGGGGGCCCTCCTTGTTTACAGAGGTCGCTTCCTTTCCCCAGGGTACCGCCGCAACAGCCAGCCTCCCTTCCTTGCAGTGAAAAGGAACTTGGCTCTTGTGCTGCGGGGGTTTCCCTTTGGGAGCTGCAGTGAAGTTAGATCTTAGGATTCAGGTTTGTTGTTTCCAGTTTCATTGTCCTTGAGTCCATTCCCTGACATTGTGCCGGAGACTCTTTCTGCTTGCCCTCTCTCTGTTGGCTTTCCTTGGTCAGCATTGCTCCAAACCTCAAAGACAGGACCAAGTAACAAGGGTACCTTTCCTTTTCCTTTTTCAGGGGGCCACCTGTCTACCCTTGTGACAGGGTCTTTGGAGCCCCGGGTTCCGCCCTGGCCGCGCATAGATGTGCGCTCTGACCAAGCTGGCTTTCTTCGTGCTGCGTCTGTTCTGAGGGCATGCCAGAGAAGGGGAACTATATGAGGCCCTTGGCCAAGCCAACCCAAATTAGCCGTTCGTTGTGCAGAATCTGAGCTTTGACCTCATCGGCGCGGAGTCGTGTGATCTGAGCAAGACTCACGCCATTGGTACTTTGCCGCGGCCCAACTATGTACTGGCAATGGGCTCTTCCAAGCACTCCACTCTCACCCTGCTAGTTGTGTGGCTCAGCGGCGGGGGGATCCTGCAGGAATACCTCACCCGCTCGGGCAAGGCGACCTTTGCGTCTTCATTCGCTTCATTGTTGTTATGCGCTTTGGGCCCAGTTGCCTGGAGCCTCTTTTCAGACCCTCAAGCAACACTTGTGAGGACAAGCTGACACACAGGTCTCTTGTGCCGACCTGCCCAGCGTTATGCAAAGATTTGGCGACTTTGTGTTGCTGGCAGGCGAACAGCCCCAGCTCCTGGCCCAAACTTTTGGTAACACTCTTCCGGCCAGTAAAACACGAGCTGCCTCAAGGACTACCGCGCCTTGCCCCAGAGCCCCCGCCGAACACTGTGGCCGGTTCCACCCCCCACCATTCAGCTCAAGCTGGCCGCTTTTGGCAGCGCTCGGGGCCGGGCATTCGAAGCAGGTTTCATTGATAAAGCCGAGGAAGCTCACCTTTGTGGCGGGTTGAAGCCGTCAAATCGAGTCATCGGAACCTGTCAGGGCACTTTCGCATGTAGACCTCCGGAACCCTTCGTTTTTGGAACCCGACGGCAAATTGGAGCCGTTGCGCAGGGCCGCCAAGGACAACGAGTACTTTTTCGTGTCGGGCTTGACGGTGGTGAGCCTCGGCCGGAAGCGGCTTCCATTTAGCAGGCGGCAGGCATGAACTGAGGGGTTTGGTTCAAGTCAGCCGCGCGAACCATTCAGCAACCCCCTGACTTATACCGACCTATTTGCGGTTGGGAGCTGGATTTGCCTTAGTAAGTGTCATCATATTATATATATATGCATATATTTGTACTACGTATATACTATACACTGTATACTATATACTATATGCTATATGCTATATACTCTATACGATATACGATATACGATGTACGATGTACGATATACTATGTACTATATACTATATACTATATACTATATATACACATGTGTGCGCATGTATGTATCCCGCATTAATGAGTCCTCCAAGTGACCATATTAAAAGTGGACAGGATATGAACTGCTTCCCAGGGTGGTTCTTGAGCCTCGCAGAGCGCGCCACAGGAACTACAGGGAGAGCGCGGTGCTCCAAGGATGCTTTGAGACAACTTGCACCATGCGCTTCGAGCGCATCCGTTGGTTCAATTCCACGCGCCGCACCGTGAGCAGCACTGCCCAGGCCCGCATCCGCGGCTGGTGTGGTAGATGAAAGTTTCAATTGAAATCTAGCCGCTATGGCTGATATCTCATGACACCTCTGGGAGTGATTGGTGGTTTGGTTTTGCATTTTGAGGAGGCGCGCGCTCACGCGCAGAGCGTCGCGTTCTGTATGAGGGGCTGAGCCATTCTCTACAGCCTCCGTAGTGGATACTTCTAATGGAAGACTTTGGCGGACATCACTCTTTCGAGGGTAGTCTTGTCCACCAGCTATTCTTAAAGAGTTCCAACCATCAAACATCATAGCCGCATGAAGTGCTTCTTTTGGGGGGTACCCTTTGGGGCTTATGCTTGAGGGTGCATTTACACACGGGGTGTGTATATATACATAGATATATGTATGTTGCCTGAATAGGACCAGGCCTCGTAAGTTGCAAGCACAAGCAATTCTTGGAACGCGACGCTTCTGAGAGTTGCGAAGCTCTCGTAGTGTTCTGGAGAAAGGTTTGAGGGCCATGCAAATTACACGGAGCTTTCCAACGAGAAAAGCGATGTTTCAGGAAACAAAGTCCAGGTGCAGCCTTCTCCATACCAGATGGGTTTGTGGGAAGGCTCACGTCTTGTACTTCTCCAAACATGCAAAGCAGTTGTTGCCAAATGTTCAGGTTCAAAGAAGCAGTTGCCACATCAGACACAAGGGACATTTAGAATCTAAAGGAAGCCGAAGGCATGGAGATCCTTCTGATGTTTTCCTCAGACCTCTCAATAGCCGAGCTGTTCACCCGGGCTGCACTTGTGGACTTGTGAACACCACAGGCTGAAGCCCCGGTACCGGACATCCCTATTTTGTAGGTTGATAGACGATTGCTGGTTCAATCATAGCCAGGGCCGCTCAAGAACCCCAAAGCAGCAATCATATCTGGGCCGATCAAATTTGAATTAAATGGCTTTTGAGAGTTCGAGCCTCTGGAGCCGTGGCGAAGACGAGATTTATGAAACTATCAAGGCCAAACGAGCTGGGACTGTGGTTATGTACCCCGCAAAGTGTACTCAGACGGACTATCCCATATATTATACAGGCTACATTCTGCATATATACATAGAGATATGTATACATCTGCGAATCCTGAAAGGGGGTATGGTTTGAGAAATTGGGGTTCGACTGGAGGTACACCCCTCAGGGGTACAGAACACTAGTTGACACAAGCCCCAGGAAAGGCCTAACCCCACCTCCTTTTCTTGGTGGCTTGAACCTCAAGATGACCACAAGGGTAGTTTTTTTTGTTTTTCTCTTGTTCTACCCTGATGGGGCCTTTGGAGACCTGATTTCCTCACCCGCAGGCGGGCATCTTCTGGGTGCCTCGGCCTTTTCCCCGAATTGGACAGTGGATTTCGCCCAATGGGCTGTTTGCCCCTTGAAAGATTTGAACTGGGACGCCAGGGGTTGAATGGGTTCACACAGCCAGTAAAAGCCTTTGGACAAGGTGCCCGGCGCCCTGAGGCTCAGAGGTTCGCGGTTTAGTTTAGAACAAGCAAAGTGGGTTACCGAACCCCTACAAAAGCATATACTTAGGAAGATCTGAGGGACTCCATGGAGTCTCTGGATGGATAAATGGGATTGATAAGGCTGTCCTTCGTCTTCACACTCTTCGCAAAAACTTAGTGTGAACCGGTGTACAGGTGCTTCTGACCCATGGCAAGTCACTAAAGCGTGGACAAAAAGTAGATCCAGAGACGTAGATCAACCCAACGCCAATTCTTGGATTCGTGGTCATCAAATGAACACCTTTGACGCCTATGAACCACCGGGGCACGTCTCTCCAAAAACAACACCCAGCAAGGGTTCTTCGCATCTCATGGGGCTCTGATCGAGAGGTCCTGTCCCAACCTTTCTAAGAGTCACTCAAGCTCTTCTTTGTTATTGACCGTGTGAGCCTGTCAATAGATGCCGACGAGGCCTCCATGACCAGGCATAGCAGGAAACTGAGGCTGATCATTTTGCTTTGAAGTAGCTGGCTGTTGGCTGTTGGTCACAAAGCGGTCAGGGCCGTCGTTGGACTTCGAAAGTTGCCTTCTTTGGCGAGTATGCAGCGTGAAATCCAGGCAACCAGCAGGGCTTCGTATTTGTATGTGCAAGAGCATGGATAAGCCGTCCATCAGAGTAGATAAGTTGTTGGAAGGAAGTCATTTCGGCTGGGCCTTTTGGAGAAATGAGGACATGGACGGCACCTTGACGGGGAATCCCAACGGTTTCGTGGCGAAGAACTTCGCCTACAACCACTTCCCCGATTGCCAGGTGGCGAGAACCTGGGCCTGGGCTTGGGACATTCCCCTTGTCTTCCCTAAGTAGATTGTCCAAGAACAGGTTTCACATGCCTCAGGACCGAAAGGCCATTGTTCTTCTCCAGAAAAGGAGGGTTGGAGTCGCTGGTATGTTCCATCAAATGGGAACCCAAAGAGGCCAAATTGCTCCCCCCCCCTCCTCCTCGCCTTTTCGGCTTCAGGGGGCGTTTTCACTTCCATGTCCTTCGCTTCAAGGGTGACAATCTGTTCGGCCAGATTTGCTCGGAGAACCAAAGAAAACACTTTTTCCACCCAACCCGCTTTTATCAGAAAGCCCTTGGTGCTGAAGAAGCTCACCGAAACCCGAAACCCGAAGCCCGAAACCCTAAGCCCTAATCCCTAAACCCACCGAAATGTGTTTTGTATTTTTTTGGTTTTCAGGTGGTGCCGGAGCACGTGGACGGGGTGCAGTGCGGCCGCTCGGACGGCAGCCTGCGGATGCGGCGGCTGCTGGTGGACTCGGCGGAGCCCTGGCAGTTGGACGGCAAGCCGATGCGCGTGGTGACCTCCGCCGGGGAGGACGGGGAGACGGGCAGACGGGGTTAGAGACGGGCAGAGGTGAGAGACGTGTTTGGGAGAATGGAAAAGCTCACCGGACCTTTCCGGCGATAGAGGTTGGGGTTAAAAACCCTCAACGACATGAATCTGCATGTAAATGTCCGCCAAAAGTCTTCAATTGAAAGTCATACTGAGTGTATCTTAGGTGATGGGAAAGCATGGATTGATTTTATTCAGGTGTTTGACGGTGGTTAGTTTCCCTTTGGTTCCTTCTCGAGTTTGAGCGGGTTGTTTTAACGGGCTCGAACAGAACGTCAATCGTGTTTTTGCGTGGAGGGGCACCAGAAGTGAAGAATCATCCCAACCACAATTCGGGAATGTTCAGGAATAGAACATGTTGGATAGTTTCCGCGCAGGCGAAAACCAATCCAGGAAAGCATGTTGTGCGTACCTCTTGTTCCTCACACGCAAGATAAGCACACAAGAACAGAAGACCGGCGGCAAGCCCTGCTTCCATTTCCGTCCCTGTCAAGCGGTGCGGTTAACAACCAAACATGTAACGGTGCTCAAGAGGAAAACTGGTCGCTGATTGTTTCTCGATCCGAATTTTCCCTTTTGCTTCCCACCAAAACGACTGCCATGTAAGAGCCTCTCCTCCCATGTTCAATTTGATTTTCGTGGGTGTTGAATGAGTGCCAACTGGTACATTGCCAGGATTTGTCAATCCCATGGTGTTTCTACGTATTTCCAATGTCCACCACAAGGGTCTCCAATATCGAATCGGTTCACGACTTTTCAGTCGCTATCGCCAAAAGAGCCAACGTGGGCACCGCCCACTGTGCCCACGTTGGTGTTATATTGTGTCGCCTTAGAACAAAACATTGGAGGTCTCCACTTAGAACAAGGGGGGCGTTTTGGGAGGGCGACGTACCCTATGACTTCTTCAAGCTTGGCGGCTGGCCGGTGGTGGTTGTGGAGAATGAGACCTTCAACATGAAAGTGGAGGATCCCAACGACTTCCAAAAGCTCCGTCTGCAACATGTCTGATAATTTTGGTGGGTTTTGGCCCTTCTAGTGTGTGAGGGTGTGTGTGTGTGTTTTGGTTTGGCCTGGGGGCGGGGGTTGGGCGATCTTTGCTAGGGCTTGCTGTGGATGGAAGACTGGCTGTGGACCCACCAACCCAAAGAGTGCTTGTTAAGCGAGTGCTCAAACAGCGAGGAAACAACAAGTGAATTCATTCGGATTCGGCATCCAAGCCCCTTTTTCCTGGAGAATGGTATTCTCGGGCTTGCTTTTACGGGGACAACACCTATTTGCTTTGTTTTCCATTTGGGTATCGACTATGGCGAAGCTTCGCCTTGCCGTAAATATCTCGAGAAGAAGTCCGCCTTTTCGGGCTCAGGGCCTAGGAACGGCATGGGTGTTTGTGTGTGTTTTTGGAGGGTGAAGGAAGCAAAGCTCTCTTTCAAACCAGAGGGGGGGGGGTTGAGGGGGGGGGGGCAGGTGGGGTTGGGGCATTGAGCAGGACGCTTGTTTTTCTTTGGACATCTGCTGGCCAAAAAGTGCCAGGCCAAGAGAGAGGCCCACTTTCCTGTTCTTGGACATGAGATCTGGGCAAGTTGAGTTGAATCGCCCCCTCACAAAGGAGTTTGGTTTGCAACCTCACCCATGATGAAGGTTACCGGACGAGCAACTCATATTTCAGATTGGTGAGGATTCTCTCATTTATCCAGTCGATTTTTGCCAGCAGCTCTGGCACTGTTCTACATTGCTTCAATGACATACCCATGAGCCTTAGTCTAGGCAGGTGAATCAGTATCATATATCTCACCCAGATGTGTCGAGACTGACGTCAGGGTGAAAACGGATCGGCAAAATGCCAGCCTAAACCAAGCCGTTTTTGCTCCCGGACTCTGCAGTAGCAAGAGTTAGAGAGATGTTGAGGCACGCGGGAGAAGCCACACCTACTCATTGTTTGAGCATGTTCCCTTCATGCATTCCTTATCCAGGGCCCCAACAAAGAACATAGGGCCACGTTGTTCTTGTCAAGTTGCACCGGTGCCATGTGTTTGAACCCAGCTTGGCTGCTCTTTGCTGCGACCTTTAACCGTTTAACTTGTCGGGCAATGACTGTGTTGCCCGCTAACTGGCAGCAACCAAGACCAACCCAGCCAGAACCACTCCTGTTCAGCGCCTCACCCTTACTGGCCAAAGAGCAAAAGAAATGGCTACATTGCAATGAAGGAGTTGGCATGCTCTTTGCGCTCGTTTGTCATTGATTGACATGTCAATGCTGTTCTTGAGCCATGCAACTTGCTCTGAGCTCGCTCCGCGGTAGCTCGGATCCAAGGTGGTATTCCTTCCGCAACTATATCATGGAGAAGCATGGGTACCAGTACACCATCACAGAGCCGCAATCCGAATATGTGCAGATTCATCTGAACTTCACAGACTGGCGCAACCACTGGGATGCCACGACAGGGCCATGGGCTCAGTTTAGCGCCGGGTTGACCATGAACCTTGTCATGTCAACAAGCCTAGGGGTGCTTCTCCTACAAATGGAACCTTTATTTGGTAGTTGAACCCACCAGGCATTGCTTGGCAATCAACCTGCAAAGGTGAGCGGCTTGCTTCGGCCAGATTGAATGAAGCACCAGATCTCCCTGGCCCCCGGAGAAGACCAATCTCCTTCTATGTGGTTATGAACATTGTCTTTTCCCCCTGTTGGTTTTACAAGGAATCCATCACTGGACCTGTGTTTGTTTTCGAGGGGACTTCAGCCAATGGAAGTTTCAGATCCCATGGCCATGTGTCCCAAGAGTTGCCCTGGGTTGGATTCAATCGCGCTGCAAGCGCTTTGCAGCTCGTTTTCAAGCAAAAAACCCACACAAGAAAGCAATTGACCAACAGAGAAAGCCAGCACATGGGTCCAGAGACCACACGAAGATATAGATTGCACTACATACACACATAATACGTACATACGTACATACGTACATACAGACATACAGACATACAGACATACAGACATACAGACATACAGACATACGCATACATTACATTACATTACGCTACGTTAAGTTACATTACGTTACATTACATTACACACTACACATTACACATTACATTACTTTACATCACATTACATCACATTACATCACATTACATCACATTACATAACATAACACAACATAACATAACACACATACATACATACATGCACGCCATGCACACATACATACATGCATGCCTGCATGCATGCATACGTACATACATACATACATACATACATACATACATACATACATACATACATACATACATACATACATACATACATACATACATAGTGTCGGACGTCAGACACGCGTATGACCGTGTAGCCATACAACTTTTTGTGGCACATTATGTATATTGTACACCTAAAACACATGCGCACACACACACAAACAATAACCCTGTTTGCGCAATATATGTATGTATATATATATATATGTGTATGTATCACTGCAATTTTAGGATTACTAACATAACATTGAGTTTTAATGTCTAGCTTGCCTCGGGGTGAGTCCCTGTTTGAAGCGCGCTTTGCTCGAAGAATTGCATGGCATGGCGCGGCCGGAGTGCGGACGAGAACGGAGGCTCGGAGGCGTGGAGGGAGGGCGTAGCGAACTCGGTGGGAAGGGTTGCATTTTGCGAGCAAGCGAAAGGCGATTGCCTGCTGTTCAAATCGGAGTCCTCTGCAATCTTTCACCCAGTGAGGATGCGTTTTGCTGAGACTCATTTGAGGACATGCCTGCCTCAATCGGACTGACAAACTGCGGGGAAGCAAAGACGCACAGTTTGGGCGGCACACCGTCGCCTTCCGGTCGGCTGAAGCCATCCCTTGCCTAAGCTCGAGCGCTGCCGAGTCTTTCCGCGCTTGCCATGGCGGACCTTGCGGCAGCCACGGTGGATGCAGGCGCCACAGCCTGGGTGCTGACGTCCACCGCTCTGGTGTTCCTGATGACGGCCGGGCTGAGCTTCTTCTACGGCGGGCTGGTCAGGGACACGAACATCATCAACACCATGATGCTTGGTCTGATTGACATCTCTCCTTTCCATGTTTGAAGCCTCATCGCATATTTTGGTCATAGAATTCCTGTCTGCCGATCTGTACGGGCGGAAACAAATCGAATTAGATAGTTAGAGGTGTCCAAGAGCAGCCAAGAGCCAAGGATGATGAGCATTGTGTCCATGGGAGTTGTGACCATGACCTGGGTGATCCTGGGTTTCTCCATCGCCTTCGGCGAGAATGGCCCGGTGATCGGGAACGCGGACTACGCACTCTTCATGAACCTGGACATGGCGCCTTGGGGCGAGTCAGGGCTGCCGGGCCTGTGCTTCGCCTGCTTCCAGATGACTTTCGCGATCATCGCCAGCGCCATCATCTCCGGGTCCTTGGTGGAGCGCATGCGGTTCAGCGCCTACGTGGTGCTCATCGCTTTGTGGTCCCTGGTCATCTATGCCCCGCTCTGCCACTGGGTTTGGGGCCCCGGCGGCTGGATTGAGGAGCTCGGCGCCAAGGATTTTGCCGGGGGAACTGTCGTGCACATCAGCTCCGGCGTGTCCGGCTTTGTTGCCAGCGGCCTCGTCGGCGCCCGCAGGCACGTGGAGAAGGAGCGAACCTTTTGTGCATTTCATAATGCTCACGATTGGTTTGGGGGAGGTTCAGCCTGGTTCAACCCGGTTCAACGCCTTTCATGCTTCGTGAGACCTAGGATTTTTTGATTGAGGCATGCGACTGCTAAGTCCCGAAAGCACTTCTGCCTCCGTTCATTGTTGAACTGTGACATTGTCTCGTCCAGAGAATCGATTCCTGCGCGGTGGTCGGTGAGAGATGCCGGCAAGAAGCCAGACAGTTGGGACCAGCTGCAAGCCGCAAGGCGCAAGGAGTGTTGGGCCGAGCGTGTCAGGACCATGGCCCGGCCAACGCGCCCTTCGTGATCCTCGGAGGCTCTCTGCTGTGGTTCGGCTGGCTGGGCTTCAACGGGGGCTCTGCCCTGGCGGTCACGGATGGCGTGGCCTCGCGGGCCGTCGCCACCACGCTCATTGCGGCGGCATCGTCCATGCTGACCTGGACCGGTCGACCGGTCGACCGGTCGAACGGTCGACTCGCGACTCGTGACTCGTGCCGACTTTGTTTGTCGCATGTGTCTGACGCGTCTTGCTCCTACTGCACGTTTCGATTGTCAGGATCTTCATGGAGCGGCTGCTGAAGGGCAAGTCTTCCAGCGTTGGCGCTATGGCGGGTGCCGTGGCAGGCCTGGTGTGCATCACCCCCGCAGCTGGCTTCGTGACACCCGGCTGGAGCATCCTCTTCGGGGTGTTTGGCGCTCCATGGTGCTATGTGTCCGTCGAGCTGCTGAACAAGCTCAACTTCGTGGACGTGGCTCGGCACGGTTTCGCCGAAAGGGTCCTACGTTCAGATTCCATCATGCCATGGTCCCATCATTCTTTAAACAAGGCGGACAGAACGTTTGGACGATGCCTTGCGCCTAGCGAGTGCGTTGAGTGAGGACACTTTGGACGCCTTCGGCCTGCATGGCATGGGCGGCATCTGGGGTGCGGTGCTCACAGGCATTTTTGCCTTGGAGGAGGGCCTGATCTACTCGGGCAGCTTCCTCCTGATCGGCAAGCAGATCGCAGGAGGGAACGGCTGGATACCTGGGCAGGTCCCGAATGTGTGGGCACGGGGGCAGGTCAGGGAAAGATGTGGCGGCTATGACGTGTCAAATCTCGGGAGAACGGTGTTTACAAAGATGAATTAAATCTTGCATTTGAGTTTGAATCAACATGACTTGGAGCAGGAAGATTGGCACATTCACAATGTCCAGACCTCTTGAACGATGCCAGGATGAACTTGAGCCGGAAACTGAACCAGCTTCCCTTCACATTTGGAATGATAGCCTTTTTTTTGCTTTAGATTTGCTGCAGATGCAGTTGGTTGGCGTGTGTTCCTGATTTGTTTGTTGCAGGATGGGCAAAGTAGGTCGCATCAGCCTCTATGCTGGGTGCTCAGACGTGGGTTGCTCCATTCTTAGTTGCGGAGAGGCTTGATTGCCCGCTAGGAGCCTTGGCCGGCGCGGCCTTCTCCGCTGTGGGCACGGCCATCATCGTGCTGATCATGAAGCTTCGCTTCCCTTGGTCACAGTTGATTTGTTTCGTTCTTTTGTCTCGGCCGGTCCATGTGGAGTGGTGCTACAATCTTTTGGATCTTCTTGGTGCTGCTCCGGTGTCTCATTTTTTCTGATGGCGAAGCTCTTCCGAGCCGCAGCCAAACGAAGAATGACTCAACTTTTCGGCTCCATGCAGAAACTGCTTTGACCCGAAAGGAAGTTGGTGGTGGATGTGCGGGTGCCGGACGACCACGAGAGGAGCGGCGTGGACGAGCACACCCACGGGGAGTTGTACCACAGTCCGGTGAAGGCCTACAAACCGCAGGAGTCCAGCGAAGCCTCCAGCGTGGTGTAAGCCCAGTGCGGCTCTTGGTCAGCCAGAGAGGCAGAGAGGCAGTTGGACGACTGCAGCGCAAGGCGCAAGGCATTGCAAAGGGGAACACACCCGGCACCATGCAGAAGGCTGGTGCGTAATTCGCAGGCGGTTGGCACAAATCAGCCGCTCCTCTTCCCTAATTGGCGGAGGGCAGATGTCAGCCAAGGAGTTGGCATGTTTCGTCCCTCCCTTTCAAAAGTCCCACATTTCCGATGGGATTTGCGACATGCTGAAGGCTGGAGGTCAAGGCAATGTCAGATTTTCGCACAATGTGCGGGCGGTTCAGGGGCACCGCTTGTCCCGTTTTGACTCCGCTGCGAGCCGCGCAAGCAGCTAAAATCGCGGCCGTCTTGTTGGACCTGTTTGCGACTTGTTACACATTTCATTGCAGACCTTGTTTGGAGAAGCAGCGGCGCTATCTTTCGCTTCTGCCGACCCTTCAGGCATCAAGGCAACCTTGGATGTCAGCATATTGGACGTGCCGGATGTGTCGGATTCCGTTTGGTCGGCTGAAGCCATCCCTTGCCTAAGCTCGAGCGCTGCCGAGTCTTTCCGCGCTTGCCATGGCGGACCTTGCGGCAGCCACGGTGGATGCAGGCGCCACAGCCTGGGTGCTGACGTCCACCGCTCTGGTGTTCCTGATGACGGCCGGGCTGAGCTTCTTCTACGGCGGGCTGGTCAGGGACACGAACATCATCAACACCATGATGCTTGGTCTGATTGACATCCCTCCTTTCCATGTTTGAAGCCTCATCGCATATTTTGGTCATAGAATTCTTGTCTGCCGATCTGTACGGGCGGAAACAACTCGAATTAGATAGTTAGAGGTGTCCAAGAGCAGCCAAGAGCCAAGGATGATGAGCATTGTGTCCATGGGAGTTGTGACCATGACCTGGGTGATCCTGGGTTTCTCCATCGCCTTCGGCGAGAATGGCCCGGTGATCGGGA